GACTGGACAATGTTCAAGCACCGTACCAGTATACTGCTTGGAAGTCTCAGCGTAGACCAGGATATAAATAAAGTAGTTAAAGAATTTAACAAATGTGTACTAAATGCAGCAGCAGAATCAATACCAAGAGGTGCCCGTAAGCATTATAAGCCATACTGGAGTAATGAGCTAGAAAATTTACATAACAAAGTAGAAACATCCAGAAAGATAGCAGAGACCAGGCCAAACCAAAAATTAAGAAACTGGTACTCGCGGCATGGATAGATTTAAGGAAAGCTTTTGATAAGGTTTGGAAGGAGGTGCTTTTTAAGAAATTGAGAAACTATAAAATAAATGGAAAAATTTACAATTGGATTAAAGCATATCTACATAACAGAAGAGCCCGGGTACAGGTAGATGGTTTTAAAAGTAAAAAAGTTCTACTGCGACAAGGCGTCCCTCAAGGTGGTGTCCTGTCGCCCACACTTTTCTTTTTATTCATCAACGATCTGGTTGCTGAGATACCAAATGGAATCAAAAATGGCAATGTATGCCAATGACCTGGTACTGTGGTGCACCAATGAACATGCAACGATAGCCACAAAAACACTGCAGCGGGCTACAAATGCACTTGAGGCATGGGCCAATAGATGGTGTGTCAGCATCAACACAGACAAATGTAGCACCACACTATTCACCCTCTCCCCAAAGCAAAAAGCCGGCACCATCAAAATAAACGGAATACCCCTGAGAGATGATAAAGAGCCCACATACCTAGGAGTCACATTTGATGACAGGTTGACATGGAGAAAACATATCAACAAGGCAGCAACCAAAGCCAGGAGGAAGACAGCAATACTAAGAAAACTAAGTGGAACTACATGGGGAGCCGATGGGAAAATACTAAATAAAGTATACAAGCAGAGCATACTTCCACACTTGGAATATGGGTCAACTGCATGGTGTTCAGCATGTAGTACCACATTAAAGGAGTTAGACAAAGTGCAAAATCAAGTGCTCAGAGTCATCACAGGAGGGATGAAATCAACTCCCATAATAGAAATGGAGAAAGCTGGGAAAACACAGGCACTGAGAGAATGCAGAGATACAAAGTTGCAAATACAAGCTGAAAAGTTCCTCAGTATGCCAGATCACCCGATGGAAAATAGATTTAAGAACCTAGCCTTGGGACGGTTAAAAAGAAGCAGCTTTATACACCAAGCAAAAAGAATATGTAAACAAACTCCTGACCTTTCAGAAATTGGTTGCCCACTTAAAAGTATTCCGGAACAAACCCCATTAAGAGAAAAATGTAAACTAACGGTACAAATCCAGACAAATGTGAAAGGGATATTTGACAAGAAAGAGCAAGATAGTGTAAAACGCAGAATGGCCACCCTCAGTTATAAAGATGAAGAATACCCACAAGAACAATGGGTCAGAGTATATACAGATGGGTCCGCAGAAAGTGCAGTTAGAAATGGTGGCGCTGGAGTGTACATCGAATTCCCAGATGGTACTAGGGATAAGTCCAGCGTACCAACCGGGAAGTACTGCCATAACTACAATGCAGAAACCCAGGCTATCAAGATAGCTACAGAGAAACTGCTAAATACCAACCTTGGCTCACAGTATGTGGTAATGCTGACAGATGCTCAATCAGTACTTGAAGCACTCCAGTCTAGGAAACTACCAGAATTGCAAACACTGCTGACACAACTCAGCATTCAGCGAAGAGTCGTAATGCAGTGGATACCGTCTCATTGTGGAGTGCCTGGAAATGAGAAAGCTGATCAACTTGCAGGGGAAGGTGCCACAAAAGAGCAGCCGGATGTACCAGTCACATACCACCAAAAGAAAAGAATCATTAAATCGATCAGGAAACCACCAGCCCCAGCACAGACGACTATTTTATTATGGACAGACCAGAACAAGTCATTATCCTCCGCCTCAGAACAGGGCACAACCGATTACGTAACCACATGTACACAAAATTCAAGATAGGTGTATCAGCCATGTGCACCTGTGGAAATGTGCCCCAGACAGCAGAGCATGTACTCCAGGACTGCACCGATTCTGACACATTAAGGCAAACCTTTTGGCAAGAAAGAACAACAGTGGAACGTAAACTCTATGGACCACTGAATGAACTAACAACGACAGTGAAATTTATACAAGAGACAAAACTGCTGATATAGACAACTTATTTCAGGCGAACGAAAGAAGAAGAAGAAGATACTTGATGAAAAAGAGTGACCATCATCATCTTGATGGACAAAACACACACACAGCATTACAACTCTTATGTTCTAGGCATGTGATGTGTTGTTTGTTTTTACCACTGTTATTGTTTTATTGCATCATCATTTGCACAGTGTGTTACTTTCGTTCGTTCGTCATGACTTGGCCTTTGACATGAATTTCCTTGACCTTTCAGTATTGCTGCATCTAACAGTCGTTCACAGAAAAGACAGTTGCTCAGTTTCGTCTGGAAGAAAAGAAAGCTGCGCACTTTCGGTCAAACAAGGCCAAGACACTTTTTGGCAAGTTGTATTCATATGGCGAATGAAGGCATGAGATACAAGAGTATAAGACTGTCCCAGGGAATTCTCTATGAAATCTTGTGCCCGACTGCAAAAACTGGCACTTTTAGGATCATCAGATCCGCATAAATAAATTTTTTTAAAAACACACAAAATGAAAATATTCCAGAACTACAGCAGATTCTAGAACTGGAGTAGTCAGTATCACAATCTGAAATACTGGAGTAGTCAGTATCCTGATTAGAAACAAAGAGATTACAGACCTGGAGTAGTTGAAGTTAAGGTTACTATGTGAAACAATAACAGATTCCAGAAGTGAAGTTATCATTAACTATACATTATATATGAAATTACAACAGATTCCAGAACCACAGTAGCTGAAGTTATATGATTAACCATTTGAAAGTATAACAGATTTTCTAACTAGATTAACTGGGTCATGATTAACCATATACAACTATAACTGATTTAGAACCAGGTAGATAAGGTACATCACAGAATTAAGACACTGACTTAGTATTTTAAACTGCTCATGACACAATGATAACAGTAAGGCTTCTGGATTAAGACAGTGTACAAATATAAATTGGGGGTCTCCTTGGCTGAAATGGTTAAGCTATTTGCCCTGTGCTATTTCAGTAATTCAGTTCACTAGTGCAACTTTATTACAGAGATCTCTGGGGATCATCACTAGAGCTTTGAAGTACGTGCTTTGAATGATGTTTTAGGCTGGTGGTGAGAGAGACCAAGCCATATGTAGTTAACGTGTGCAATGAAGTCGAACCTCTCAACTTGAAACCTTTGAGCCTACTAGACACACACACAAAAAAGCCTTGTATATATGAACATTGTTGGCATCTTTACTGAGGATAGTGTTATAGAAATGTCTTCCGCACTTAGAACACAGACACGTGTGCTGGGGAAAATGAATAACTTCTTAAGAAAGCTATAGAACAAATGTACAGAGAAAAAAGTACCATCTAGGCTTCATTACGATACTGAATATGAAGTAAATAGGAGTATTTACTTGTTCATCTATTTAACTTATTCATATCTCTCTGGCCCCCTACCTTTTTTGTTTTAAAACTTATGCCTTCTTACTTATTTCTTTTCCTATTATAGCCTTTCATACTCATATTTTCCCTCCCATCACGTACTTCTTGGTTTTATGTTGACCTTGCTGATTAGCTCTGTTGTCCTGTCCGTTGAGTTTTCCATTCACAGTTTGTGCTGTTCATAGTTCTCCGTGATAAAGACTTTGGTCGAAACGTTCAGTTGTATTTGTGTGCGTCTTTTCTATTCCCTCCGTTGGGCTTCCTAGTAACATTTGTGTTGTATTTAGCATTCTGAATATGAAGGTCTACTATTTAAAAAAAATCAATTATCAATCAGGTTCCTTCACAAGGAAAGTTGGCTACAGAGGGTTTTAAGACCCTCGCAGCCTTGTACACTGAAAACTTTTATTTATTCATCTCCTAATGTTATCTGACCACTTGTATCAGTGTCCTCAACTTTTCCCTCCAATAAGACATTTTATAAGCTTGCTATCTTTTAATGCGGCCAATATACTCTGCACCTGTCTCTTTTTAATTTCTGTCAACATTCTCTTCATCCGGTCTCCTTTAACTGTCTGTATTTGTCCTTTTTTTAATGCTTTCATGAAATACAACATATTCTTCTGTGTATCATGCAGAGCAGAAGAATAAGGGGCAAAATGCCAAAGAGAAGTGTCTTTCAAGAGTCGAATTCTCAAGCTCAGAATAGACACTGTAAACTCAAGAGTATTCAAGATGAAGTTGATCTCACTGACTCCTCCAAATAAGGTTGTAATGCACCAAAGCAAACTCCACAGCAAGCTTTATTAGACTGTCCAGACTTTGCCAGTGTCAACAAATCAGGCCCCTAGGAGTGACCCTGGCAAGACAACCTATAAAGACCTCAAGCACACTGTGCTGTTTTTAACCTATCCTGGAATAGATACATGGCAAACACTGACTGCTTTGACAAAGAAAAAGAGCATGTAAAAACTTGCCTTTGGACCAATAAACTCCCAATGTGGGGTCTGTGGTCCATTCTGGAAGGGGAAAAAAAATAATAGACCTGCTGCTTTCCCAAGCTGTCGTAAAATGTGACTCAATCTGTGATTTGTCTTCTCAAGTCATAGCGCATCTGCCTGATAGGTAAGGAACCAACAGTCTGCATACAAAAAAAAAAGCAGATTTGTAAAACGGATAAGAACATAAATTCAAGCTCTGCAACAAGCTTAAAGTCCAGAAGTGGACAAACAACCAAAACTTTCCACCAGAGTTTACAGCCAGTAAAAGGACTGACAAGCCCGATGATGGTGATGAGTTTCACTGCAAACACAATTTATTGCACTTTTCCGTTATCCTTGACTCATGATGACTAACCATGGCTTCGAGAATAAGACTTACCTGAAATATAACTCAACCTAGATGATCAAACCCATACCTATCATCATGCCTGTGATGTTTCTATGTTGCCATCATCAAACGAAGAAACAGGAATATCATCTGGACTATCAGACTGGCCCTCACTGCCACAAACATTACCATGAGCTATATGTTCGTAGGTGAAGTCAGCAGTCTGTGTGTGGTATCCATTCGGGCTGGCTACCCCTTCAACTTGATTGCCATTACTAGGCAGGTCTGACTCGGGACTGGAAGACACTGCAGAAGTTTTCACCAGTTTAAAACTTCGTTGGGCACTGTCCAGTGAGTTTTCCGTGTTGCTAAAACTGGAGGATGCTATATCATTACTGTTCTGGATGTCTTGGAATATTTTGTTGAAAACTTCAACAACTGGTTGGTTTCTCACCTGGAAAAAACTGTCTTCTGAAGGTTTAAATATGTCTTCAGTCTCATCTTCTTCCTTGATAACCCTGTCATTCTCTTGTGAATCTCTGGTCCGGGAGCTGGACGGGGAGCTTTCTTTGTGCCCCGAGGAATTATGAGGAATACAAGTGCCTTCGGCAGAGGCAGCATGACTGTTCTGAGATGCAGAGTTTGCTTGAGGACTGTAGTTGAAGTTCTCATGTACTGAGGATGCAACTTTCACCTGTGTATTAGTGGTTTGAGGGAAAGACATGCTATGGCCAATCTTTGAAGCTGTCCTTAAAGAAGAGTTATCACTCAAATTATTCAGGCTAATGCCTTCCCCAGTTGCGGATGTCAACCTGGAGATTGTGAGCGCCTGGTTGTCAGTTTCTGGGGCTGTATGTTTTCTGGGGTTGCTGGAGGCGTTGCTTGATATGGCTTGACTGACTCTGCTAGCTTGAGATCCGGCGATGCTGGTTTGGGGTGGGGACTGTAGTGTGGAGGCATCTCCTCTGTGCTCCTGGCTGGTACTTCTACAGAAAGAAAAATATAGCAGTGTTAAAATAGAATAAACAAAGAACATATGAGCAATTGTAAATTTTTGCTGAGTTTCTTCTATTGTTGTTTGCCTTCACCGGCTGTAAACCCCAGGGGAAAGACATGGCTTTTCATCCATTTCTGGACTTTGGTTTTGTTTTTAGGACATGAGTTTTGCATGTGCATCCATTTTATAGAACTTGTTTACTGCATGCAGACTGAAGGTTCTTTGCCTCTCAGGCAGATGCACTTTGAAGGAAGCTCCCAATTAGTTGACTCTTACGACATGCTTGTAAGGAGGCAGTGGGTCTATTCATCTTTTCCCCACAGTGGGACCTCAGAACCCAGACAGGGATGTTCTTCTACTGATTACTGACTTAAGAATTAACATCACAGCAAACCTATAGAATCTCCGTCTTTCATAGCAAATGTCTGAAGGGTAGATGCTAGCTATTGCACTGGTTATACACACATTGTACTCTTCCTCTCAAACATCCTTTCTTGCCAAATCCATACTTATTTCTAAATTCACACACTCTTAACTTGTGTTATTTCACCTGTCATTGTAGCTTCCATCAGCGTTCACTGACAAATCATGTAGAGACAGGGGGTGGTGAGCCTGCAAATGTACAGGTTAGGATGTTTAATTCTGCCCCCGACAGAAAAACTGTTTCATCTGCCAGAGGCTGAACACGAGTCTCTTACATGAGAGTCTGATGATGTAACTGCTCGGCCAGCCGCTCTTCTGTAAGGCATTGGAAAGCATTACTGCAGGGCCAGTCTGATGTCAGAGATTTGAATCCTCATCAAGGCAGTATTTTAAAATGTGAAGAATTTGCCACAGCTAAGAACAGTGACCATGCCTACAGTCTATTTTGACTGGAACAATCGAATACAGAGGTTTCATAAAAGGAGGTACAAGGGAACACAACTGGTGTGTTTACATCCAGTGTGCTACTGGCAGACCGGTTTGACCTTTGCTTTTCCCCGATACTTCCGACAGGTCAATGGAGGAACAGAACAACTAGATAATAAGCAACAATGAAAAAACAAGTTCTCACTTAAAGAACACAAAGAGCTTTTTATCTCCACCCAATACTTCAATGAGGTAACTAGAGGAAGTGAAGGAGAAGAGAATAAACTATTAAATAAACCAAACCAGTTTTCACTTAAAGAGATCAAGCTGTGCAACTGCAGCTGTTACAGAAAAGTTAAAAAAAAGTTTTCACTCAAAGACATCAAGTTGTGGAGCTTTATCTGCAGATGTTACAGAAAACTAAACCAGTTTTCACTCGAAGAGATCAAGCTGTATCTGCGGCTGTTAACAGAAAACAAAAACAATTTTCACTCAAAGAGATCAAGCTGTGCAGCTGTATCTGCAGCTGTTAACAGACAACAAAAACTATTTTCACTCAAAGAGATCAAGCTTGAAGCTGTATCTACAGCTATTAACAGAAAAAACAACAACAGTTTTTACTCAAAGAGATCAAGCCGTGGAACTGTTAGAGAAAACAAAAACAGTTTTCACTCAATGAGATGAAACTGTGCAGCTGTTACAGAAAACAAAAACAGTTTTCACTCAATGAGATAAAACTGTGCAGCTGTTACAGAAAACAAAAACAGTTTTCACTCAATGAGATAAAACTGTGCAGCTGTTACAGAAAACAAAACAGTTTTCACTCAATAAGATAAAACTGTGCAGCTGTTACAGAAAACAAAAACAGTTTTCACTCAATGAGATAAAACTGTGCAGCTGTTACAGAAAAAAAAAAGTTTTCACTCAATGAGATAAAACTGTGCAGCTGTTACAGAAAACAAAAACAGTTTTCACTCAATGAGATAAAACTGTGCAGCTGTTACAGAAAACAAAAACAGTTTTCACTCAATGAGATAAAACTGTGCAGCTGTTACAGAAAACAAAAACAGTTTTCACTCAATGAGATAAAACTGTGCAGCTGTTACAGAAAACAAAAACAGTTTTCACTCAATGAGATAAAACTGTGCAGCTGTTACAGAAAACAAAAACAGTTTTCACTCAATGAGATAAAGCTGTAAAGAAAAGAAGCACAGATAACACATATGAGCAAACAACACTAAATGACCACTTACAATCGAACTCCTAGTCTCTGCTCCAACAGTGACTTCAGGTTCGGTAGTGTTTGCCTGAGATCATTTGTCCCAAGGCCACAGTAAAATCTCATCTGCAAAATATAACATGAAGTGTGGGGAAAAAATACCTAATTTACACAGTCTATAGGCCGCAGCATTTGAACCAAAAATAATTGAAGAAAAATATGGTGCGGCTTATACTTGAGATATTAAGTGTACATGTCACTGGGTACAAAATTTATTAAAAAACAGGAGTTTTATCAGCATTTCCCATGCTGTAGTGTCTTCTGTAACTTCAGAACATTTCTTTGAAACAAACAGTTTCTCTTCGTAGGTTTAAGGAAGTCATTGCGCCACTGTCGTCTGCCACCGAATCACAAGGTAATTTTGTGCCGTAAAGCACCTTGCACAGCCATAACAGGATTTACATTTCCTTGGCACATAAGGCACTAATTGCATCTGAAAGATACAACTGTAACCTGCTCTTAGGCAACAGGGATGTCCTCTAGTTCCAATTTGTTATTGTTGGGACTGTAAAAGTTAGTGACATATAGCGGCTCTGGAAGGATATGTAGTTTTACAGTCAGATGTTCAGACTCACTGATGCTTATGGAAGTTTCTGTGGCCGCAATAGTATTTTTAACTAATGTAATGATGCCTCCTTTGAGGCCATCTCTGTCTAGCCTATATATTTCATAGTCTCTGACAGAAGAGCGAGAGCCTGTATTTAAACTGTTTTTCTGAAGGCAGACAACATCATCAATCTTTTGTTTGTAGATGAATTTTTGCAGTTCAAGCTTTTTCATCATTACCCCTTCTGCATTCCACTGCATTATCTTTAGTGTATTGGTATTATTTTGGCCAGACACACTACTCTGTGTTTTTCATTGGCACAGGAGCGGAGCAAAGATGGGGTGACCCGTTTGCTATGAAGCTGAAACTAAAACTACCAGACTCTGCTTAATCCTGGCAGAGCTACCGTCAGTAGTTTGGGGTGGATCCCTTCGAGGCTCGAAAGCCAGTGATGTTCCCATCTGGCAGCAGTCCACAGGAGCAGCTCCATAACGATGTAGGTATCTAAGCATACTCATTAACCGTAGATTGCGTTGATGTCCGTTTCCATTTCTGGGAACCCACGCTATTCAGGCTGACATTTCCGTCTTCGGTGGGGGAAGTTACAGAATTTTCCTATCTGTGTCCTGGTTCAATCAAACACTGCCTGCCAGAAATCAGAGGTTGTGAGAGTTTCCCTTCTCCACCTTGGATTATCCAGGGTGGGCGTCCTGGGTGGGACCTTGGTGGGGATTGGGACATATCCACGCGCCGGACGTGGGGGAGGTCACACTCTCCCAAGGGATTCTGTCTGGCTTACCCCACAGCCTGGTATTTTACCCCTTCAGGCAACAGAGGTCCATTTTGTTAGCGATTTAGAGCCATGAGCTGAGTCTGTTACAACAGATATAACCATATGTAAATTAATTTCTAACAATAACAAGAATATAGTGAGGTCAACAGTTACCTCAACTTCCCCATATCACATGAAAGAGAAGTCAGTAACAAAAGTGTGAAGGTTACCTGGCTGATATTTTTATTCAGAAGAAAGACTGCGTAGTTGTACTGGAATTTTTCTTTGCCTTTTCCATACAGTGGGAATCTGAAAGAAGGAAAAACTATCATTTACCAGAGAAAAAAATTTCCATTACAGCCTGTATTTAAAACTTCTGTGGTAGAGGCAGGGGTCTCTGAGCTTACTGAATGTTGAATTAAGAATCAACATCAACTCGAGACAATCCCATAAGCGCTCTGTCCCCATCTTCAGCAGTAAGTGAAGAGTTCCAATTCTGATGGTACCAGTAACTCTCTGATTGTACATTCGTCTCGTCTTAAGTTCTGAGCGTTGGTCAGATCCCATGATAACTCCTAATAATATAACTCCTAATAATTTTACTCTATGAGCTTGAGGATTCAGAGCTGCAGAAAGAAGGAAGAAGGAAAACAATGTTAAAATCACACAAATCTTTGCTGTTCACACAGAATATTTACCAGCAGTTTCAATGTATTTTTCCTGACTGTTAGCCAATGTATAAATCCTCTTCTTCTGCATTTGCCCTTGGTTTTATAGCTAGGCTGCAATATCTGCCCCTTTCGGCTAAACACATCTAATTTCAGCAAACACTTAATTAGTCAACATTTACAAAAGGCCTGTTAAGGGGTTCAACATGGCTGTTGAGGGGTTACAACATGCCTGTTAAGGGGTTACAACATGCCTGTTAAGGGGTTACAACAGGCCTGTAAAGTAGTTACAGCAGGCCTGTTAAAGGGTTACAACAGATCTGTTAAAGGGTTACAACAGGCCAGTCAAAGGGTTACAACAGGCCTTTTAAGGGGTTACAACAGACCTGTTAAGGGGTTAAAACACGCCTGTTAAAGGGTTACAACAGGCCTGTTAAGGGGTTACAACAGACCTGTTAAGGGGTTACAACAGACTTGTTAAGGGGTTACAACAGGCCTGTTAAAGGGTTACAACAGGCCTGTTAAGGGGTTACAACAGGCCTGTTAAGGGGTTACAACAGACTTGTTAAGGGGTTACAACAGGCCTGTTAAAGGGTTACAACAGGCCTGTTAAGGGGTTACAACATGCCTGTAAAGGTGTTACAACACGCCTGTTAAGGGGTTAAAACACGACTGTTAAGGGGTTACAACATGATGCCTGTTAAGTGGTTACAACATACCTGTTAAGGGAAAGAAGCCTATCCCCCCCCCCCCCCCCCCCCCCCCCCCCACCCTCCCTTCCAACCTCACAATAGGGTCCAGGTGCGCCCACATGAGGAATATAAAATTCTATTTCTGAGACACAGGATGTCTGAAATCAAAAGCAGGAGAGATAAAATATAAAAAAATAGGATGATTTCTGAGACACAGGATGTCTGAAATCAAAAGCAGGAGAGATAAAATATTTTAAAATATGATGATTTCTGAGACTCCGGTGACAAGTGAGAAAACGAACTGACTGCCTACAGATTATGTCACACCATAAAATGAAAATGTAAAAAAAAAAAAAAAACTAAAGTGAACTTAATAAAAGCTTAAACAAATTAGAGGACCCTTATCCTGCTATTGGCTCATTGGGCATATACTTCTAAACCCATACTTGTATAGACCCACTGGCACTTCTACTTTCCAGGGCTCCACCTGGTACCAAGTTTAGACTGGTCTGACCTAAAAGCATAGATTATTTTTAAATAACAATTTGTCTTGATGCGGAATTCAATCCAAGACCTTCAGGACAGCTGGCAAGCCCCAAGCCACTGCACAAATATGGCTTCCAATTTTTTTTCTATGTTCACCTTTAACAGGTCATTGGTACATTATATTGTGGTTTACAGGTAGGCTGCAATATTGCCCCTGTTATCTCAAAACATCTTTACGTTCACCAGCTGTAAACTCTGGTGAAAAGTTCTGGTTGTTCGTCCACTTCTGGACTGCAGTCCTGTTCCAAAACCTGAGTGATGCGCTTGCATCGTTTGACAGACTCAGTTGTGTGCAGACTGTTGGTAACTTGCCTCTCAGACAGATGCACTCCGACTTTGAATGAAGCTCCCAATAAGTCAACTCTTATGCCATGCTTTTGGATAGGCAGTGGGTCTATTCTTATTTTCCCTATAACAGGGCTCTGGAACCCACACGGGGAGATCAACAAACCCTTAACTGGTCGCCTTTAACGACATCTTTGTGAAGAAGCAGCTTCCACTTTAATGGGGCATCGGAACCCAGTAATAATTGCTTCAGCTACTACTCACTCTCTATCCTTATCGGTCAGCTTGCTGTGAATATGGTCAATAATCGTTGAGCGTGAACCTCTGTACACCATCGGATACCGCAGGGGCAAATCCATGAAGTGTGAAATCATCTGGGTCAGATGGCAGGTAAAACCCAAGGCAATCGACACCCTCATCTCATCCTGACCTGTAAGGAGCAAGTCAAACAGAATAAAGAATACAGTTGAGTTGAGTTAAGAATTGACAGTACAGCACTCGGCCCATTCCCATGTGTGCTCCGTCCTCATCTTCAGCAGCCAGTGCAGACTTCCAATACTGATGGTACCGGTCACAATCTGGTTAAATGTCCGTCTTGCCTTTTTTCTGAGTGTAGTGAGCCGGCCAGACCCTCTGGTTACACCTAGGTGCCTGGTTTACATCTAGGTGCCTCATTATCTCCAGGCCATAATAATCTTCTTTCTCTACCAATTCCGTTGCTTGTTCCCAAAGGGCCTAGAAGAAGAATACAGTAATCAGGTAGCTGCAGTTCCCACTTCGTAGCAAATGGGTCACCCTATAGTTGCTCTGCTCTTGTGCCAACAAAAACACACAGAATGTCCCATCACTGTCCCATGTGGAAAAAAAAAACACTGACACAGGCTGCAGTCTCAGCAAAGCCATTAGCAAATACACATCAAATGCATAAGGCAGCTGCTAAAAGTGCCAACACAAACAATCTGGCGCTAGAAATGCTGTTTATCATGGATGAAATCAGCAGCTACAACATATCAGCAGTTACACACGTAATTAATCACAAAAAGACACTACCAGTTTTCTTGCAATAGGCCACTCACTATTTTCTGAATCTGCAGTACACAGCACAAGCCACGCTGGTCACAATCAAAAATAATTCTAAACATAATCTGCAGCTCACAGTGTCGCACCATGTACTCAACCCAGTAGCTGGGCGACAGAACGATATCCTTTCAGTCTATACATAGAGGGAAATGTAACGGCTAACAACTGTCAAAAGAGAAAAACATACCACGACTAAAATAAGTAAGCCTGCCTATCCACCAAACTGACTGGAAGTCGAAGAATACAGTATGCATGTGTTCAGTTCTCGTTATGCCTAGTGGCACATGAGGCTTCAGAGAGGACTTTCCATGCTTTCCTGTCCTGTGCAATCTTCAGTGCAGTTTTCCATGTCAAAGATGCCGCACTCAGGTCACTTTCCATCGTTCCTCTCGATGTTGTTTTTGGGCGCCCCTGTTTTCTCTTTCCCTCTGGTGTTCATGTGAGAGCTGTTTTGGCAGGTATATCAGAAGTCATTCTCATAACGTGGCCAAGCCATTTCCATCTTCTCTTGGTAATCATACTGTCTAAAGTTTCTTGGTTTGTGGCTTGAAGTAGTTTAGTGTTTGAGATTGTATCTGGCCAGAAAATTTGATAATTCTACGTAGACATGTGTGGTGGAAGGTGGACAGCTTGTGTGCATCTTTTTTGGTCATTCTCCAGCATTCCGCTCCATAAAGAAGAACTGGCAAAATGATGCTCTTGTAGAGTCGGAGTTTCGTTCCTCTGCAGTAATAATTGGATTTCCAGGTTTGCCTCATCCTTCCAAAAGCAGCTCTAGCTTTGTTCAGACGTGAATGTAAGTATTCCTCTGTCCCTCCCAGTAGGGTCACCACACTGCCAAGATACGTGAAATGTTCTACATTTTCAAGTGATTGGTTACTTATGGTCACTGGTTGTTGGTTTATGTTTGTCATGATCTAGTTTTCTTTGTATTTATTTCAGTCACCTTCTGCTGTGCAGTTTAGTCTGTTACTTTTTTCTTGTATATTCATTCGATAGGAGTGCTATATATCTGCAAAATCAAGGTCCTCAAGCATGGTGAATGGAGTCCATCGTATGCCTCTTAATGTCCTGTCTACTGTGTTCTTTAGTATCCAATCAATCACAAGGTTGAAGAGGAGAGATGACAACACATCCCTGTCTTACACACGTCTTTACTGGGAAAGATGTATTGTAATTTTTTATACTGCAGGAAAAGTTTTTATAAAAGAGAGCAATTATGTTGACTATTTTTTCTGGAATTCCATAATGTCGTAAAATTTTCCACAGACCGTCTCTATGGACGCTGTCAAAAGCTTTCTCAAAGTCCACAAAATTAATATATATACTTCTCTGCCATTCGTTGCATTGTTCTTAAATGTTACGTATGGCGAAGATGTGCTCACTTGACACTACCAGTTCTCTTGCAATAGGCCATTCACTATTTTCTGAAGCTGTAGTACACAGCACAAGCCATGCTGGTCACAGTCAAAAATAATTCTAAACATAATCTGCAGCTCACAGTGTCCCACCATGTACTCAACGCAGTAGCTGGGCGACAGAACGATATCCTTTCAGTCTATACATAGAGGGAAATGTAACGGCTAACAACTGTCAAAAGGAAAAACATACCACGACTAAAATAAGTAAGCCTGCCTTTCCACCAAACTGACTGGAAGTCGAAGAATACAGTATGCATGTGTTAGCCCCTTTAAATCCTTCTACTGTGCTACAGGGAGGCATAGGAAGCACAGCCCATGGCAATGACAACAGTAACCAGCAAGACCAGCTCACGTTAAGAAGAATCTTCCCCAATAAGTGCATGAGATTTCAGGACCAGTTGGTACTTGTGACGAAGCTTCTTCACAAATCTACTTCGACTTACACATTGCTACTTGCACTGCTTCTACTGTCTAGGACTGACAACACAAAACAATCTTTGCGACTCATTTGAAAATATGGTCTGTATATTTATCTTGTTGTTTTCAATTTGCAATTGCCGAGGTATTTTTAACATGCGCAGCATGCATAATGATTCTTCCAAATGTTTCACCCTTGATGGAAAAGGCCAGACATTCGATCCACAAACCCAGGATTAGTGGTCATTATCGTATCTTTTTTCACATGTGCTCAAATCTACAGACAACACCATGTGTGAATCAGGTCTGTCTGAAAGAGAAACAGATGCTGCAACCTTTGATCTACTACTACACCCTATTCCACAAATTTAATTAATTTGTTATTCTTCTACATTCGCCCTGAAAAGGGTGGCTGGTACACTGTGTTGTAGTTGACAGCTAGGCTGAGATATCTGTGCCTTTTAGCACAAAACACTAATTTCAGCATATTTCTAATCAGCCACCTTTTAAGACATGCTTGTTATGAGGAACAGGGCCTACTCCCCCCCCCCCCCCCCCAAAAAAAAGAACTCCGGAACAGAGGGAGATTAGGTTAACATTAATACATATAAGGAGCCATGATAGCACAACAGTTAGTGCACTTGCTTACCAAGACAATGGCCAGGTTCACTCCCAAGCAGTATCACAATCATTTGTCAAACCACTACAGCTCTTGGGTAGCCTAAGCCTCATCTCATAACAGGAGTTCTAGATGGATCATTTGCCTTATGTGGGTTCCAGGACCCCATTGTGGGGAAAACAAGAATAACCCACTGCCTTCCCAACAAGCTTGTGGTAGGGGTCGACTAATTGGGGGTTTCCTTCTAAGTCTGAGTGCATCTGGCTGAAGGGCAAAGAACAACCAACTGCACACAAATAAGCCGGTAAAACGATGTACATGCAAAACTCAGACCCTGGCACAAAGCCAAAGTCCAAGCGGACGAAAAAATTAGGACTTTCTGGCAGAACTTAGAGCTGGTGAACGAAGAAGAAGAAGAAGAAGGATAAATAATTTTAAGAATTTCATGGCAACTAAGTGAGAATTTAAAGTGCTGAAGAAGACTGAGCCTTGTTGGAATGTGCACCTCTTGGTAATGTTTTTGCTGTGTGTGTGTTGAAGGTCTATGCTCTACTGGGAGACGAAAATGAATTAGAGGAAGAAAAAAAAAAGTTTGATAACAATGAAGATGATGATGATGATGCCACTGATGACAACAATATACAGGTACCTTGATAATCTTCTGCATTCGGAAGCCGAACATTACAAATGTAGAAACCTTTCTCATCCTGTGGATGGAAGTAACATCTCCATTTTATAACAGATGCAACAGAAACAGGTGTAATAGTGTAATAGACTCAACAGAAAGCAATATACAACAATTTGCCATCTACAAACAGAAAACTACCACATGCATAAAATAAACATTTGTACAGTCCCCACAGTGTGCCTGTCAAACAGGACCACAAACACTTGAGCACATTCTGCAAACCTACCCACTCTACCTACAACTTCAAAAAGACACCTGGCCTCAAGAGCAAAGTGTGCAAAGCAAGCTAAGGGGAACCATGAAGGGTCTGCTACTGACATGCGAGTTTACAGAGGCACCCCACCTGATGGTCTGATCTGAACATATGAAACCGAACGCAAAGAAAAAGAATAACATGTGCGTGGAAATGCTGCAGCTAGCATATTTGCCTGGTCTTACCTTTTCTTAGGTTGGCAAAAAAGTCTCAGGCAGTGATCATACTGTATGAGAAATACTTGAAATCTACAATACTCATCCATGGGGCTACGTGGTCTCAATGCATAGTGTCCGCCTCGAGTGCTAAAGGTTCAGGGTTCAATCCCCGGTAAGGGCTGGGATTTTTTTCATATGGACTTGGACTTCTAGTAATTCCCCCTGGTCTCTGTGCCCATGTGCATTCTTGCATACGTAAAAAATCCCTAGACAGTTGGAAACCAAAAACAGTAGCCTAACGGTGCTGCCCGGGCAAAATTTGGAGTTAAAAATCTATCCAAAGTATTTCAGGATCCTCGCCGGTGCTACAGAGCCTGTGCACTGTGCTGAGCTTCTTCGGACTCAGACTTGAGTTAGAAGAAGAATGGAGCACTTATGGGTTACTACCCGTGTGCCATGATGTTGATCGGTTGTTCAAACTTCAGTACTCATTCATCATTAAGTGTTTTGCCGACTGGCATGGGCGATCATACCTCTCCACAATCTGTGATCTTCAACTGCGGATTATCAGTTGGTGTGTTGGCAGAACCTACCATGCCATGACAAAAGGCTGTCAAGAATCTTCTTGGGCTGTCTTCCTCTGTCTCTCTTTCCACAAATCTTTCCAGTGGTCACAACATGTTCCATTTTCCCTCTTTTCAAAACATGATCAAAAAATGATGACTGTCTCTGAAGTTTGTGATAAGTTGTCTACAATACTGCCCAGACTCTGTGCTAAGGAAAGGGAAAACTTGTTCCCTGGACTTCATTGCTAACACCATGGGCTGTGATTCCATACTTCCGTATAGTACAATGAAACACTATTCTCTGGAAAGAGGGAAAGGTGCCAACAACATTTGACAAGGATGCATGATAGTAAGTGATTAGTGCACCTGCCCGCTAAGTTGTCCAGGTTTAATCCCAAGCAGGATCATTATTTTTCCCCCCTGGCCAGCGCAAGTCTGGGGTCAATTTAGCCGCACAAAAATGCATACAAGAAAATTTTATGGGAAAGAAAAGTGACGTGAAAGAGAACCGGCAACCTCATCTAAAAATGTCATCCTAGAATAGGGCTACTGAGGCGGTGATCTGTGGCCAAATCAAATCCGCAGAGGCCTAGCAAGCCTACTGACAAATGTATTGTATTATCTTTCTACGCTGGGATCAGCCCTCTGGACCATGAAAATCTCCACCTGAAACGTTCTGGCTCATGAGCAAACTTAGCTGAATAAGCCTAGAATATGCTTGATGGAAACAATGTGTGATCGTATTCTGTTAAAACAATATGCGATCGTATTTGATTCAAACAAGATGCTATCATAGTTTATGGAAACGATTTGCAATCATATTTTATGGAAACAATATGCGATTGCATTTTATGGAAACAAAAACAATCAAATACAGAGGTTTTGAAGAGACTGGAATGAAAGAGAGTTGTTGCTGACAGAAATTTTAAAAAAGAGTCAACAGACATGTTTCTGCCACATTAAGAGTCATAACACTCTTATCAAAATCTTGCTGAATGGAAAAGAAGAAGGCAAGAGAACAAGGAATATAGAATGATCAAAAAGAAAGGAAAGCATCAAGAATGGATGAACAGCAGTCTGAAAGGATGTACTACCAAAAGCAAGAGTCAAGAGTGTGTTGGAGATCCACTGCAGCCAACCTTCATTGTAGAGACGGCACATGACTGAGAATATGTAAATAATAATAGTCACACACTCCCTCTAGATTATTTTATCTGCCCTTGTCCAAAGATACTAATCAACACCAAATTATCTTCATTGTTTATAATAAACAGGTGTGTTGCGCTGAATTCAGAACAAGTGTCATAGCATTCAGGACATTCCCATAAACGCTCTGTCCTCATCTTCAGCAGTCATGCAGAGTTCCAGCTCGTCACTAGTTTTGATGGAACTAGTTGTGACTGTACCTTTGTTTTGTCCTTCCCCCGAGTGTTGAGCATCTTTTCCAGATACCCTAGTCACTCGCCACTGCACCGTGCTATTCAGACTGTGAAGATCAATCAGTGTTTACAGGATAAACACAAAAGAAGCTGTACATACCTCAGTAATGGGATAAATATCCTGCACCATTTCCCTTATGATCTGTTTTCGTCGAAATAACACCTGAGCATTCTCTTTCACCAGCATTTCCCTGTGGGCAAACAACAGGAGGATGACTGATTATAAACTGTAAAATCAAATATTTCTCATGAGTCACATCAAATGAAGGAAGTAGCTATTGCTCCAAGAGAGATAATCAGAGTGTATCAATTATAATAGCTGAGAAAATGTGGTAAGGTTAAAGACCCCTGTTATGCCTTCATCAGACCTACCATATATCAGTTTCGGTTGTTGGGGAAAACAAATGACAAACTTCGTGACTCTTTTAACCTGCTCCTTAACTGAGCGGCGGTTAAACCAAGTCCGTGTTTACTTGCTGACTTTAAGTTGTTCTTATTGGTTATGGCGTTTGGTTATGCTTCAGGTTTGTGGACAACATCTCTTGTTTCCTGACTTTCTTTGTCTCTGCATTTCTATTCTGGTGCAGTTTGGGCTGTTCGTTTGTTGTGGTTCGGGCAGTAAAGTTTCTGCTTGTCTGGCTCGGGGCGGGGAGGGAAGGCAGTCCTAAAAAGACTAACCGATTTTGCTTGGGTCAGCTCAGCAGCGGGAATGGAATATATTGCTAGACGTACATTTTCATAGACCAACTGGTATTTAATGGGTGTTATAGTCAATGTCACACCGACTGCCTTTACTTTTGAGGGAGACAATGAAGGGTGTAATAATTATTCCAGGAGACATAATGTTGTGTGTGGGCAATTTTTCTTCTTCTTCTTTGAGTTCACTGGCTGTAAACTCTGGTGGGAAGTTCTGGTTGTTCATCCATCTCTAGATATTACTTGTTCCAGAACCTGAGTGTTGCATGCACAACTGTTTTACAAATCTGACTTACCTGTAGGCAGACTGTTGGTTCTTTGCCTCTCAGGCAGATGCTCTCTGACTTCGAAGGAAACCCCTAATTAGTCGACTCTTACGACACACCTATCGGGGAGGCAGTGGGTCTATTCTTGTTTTCCCCACAATGGAGCCCTGGAACCCATACGGAGAGAGAATTATTCTAAGGGAGACAATGTAAGGTATAGCAGCTACTCAAAGCACTAAAAGTCAAGAGGACGAACTTCACTGCATGAGTTTTTGTCCATATGGCTTGGTCTCTCTCCGCAGAATGGCTAGGAAGAACTCCACAGCTCCAGCAACATTCCCTAGGGATTTTCATTGAAACTGTATTCATAAATCAATGGAAGCAATCTCTGAAACAAACCTCTGACCTTAAGAGTATCTTCTTCTTTGTTCACCAGTTGTAAGTTCTGGCAGAAAGTACTCGTTGTTCATCCATCCAGACGTTGGTTTTGTGCCAGCGCATGAGTTGTGCGTATACATCCCTTTTACTAGCTTATTTGTGGCGCGGTGATTTATGTCACAGGCGTGAGGGGAAATTAAGTCCAACATGATGTGTATAAGGAGATACTCCGTACGTCACTCGGGCGCCAGTCCTTTAATATCCTGGTTGTACGGAACCTCACGCAAGACCCCGGCAGCACGTCCTCGTCGTGCGCCACGGATAATGTCTCAAATGAGCATTAACAGAGCTGCCAGGGGATCTCGGAGTTTGGCGGCCCCCAGAGGTGATGTGTCCTTGTGGCTCTCATCAGCCCGCCCCCAAACGCTTGGGTGAAAAAATTGTTATCAAAACTCATTAGGAACATGAGCAGGTCTGCCAAACGTACAGCCAAAATTACAACCCTTGGTTAAAAGACGGCGGAATAAAGAGAACATTGTTTACTGCACATCCTCTGTTAACCCTCAGTGTCGTCGCCACCGCACTGGGGTACACCACAACAGCAACCATCCATAGGCTGGCCATTCATGTACATCCTTGGTTAACCCTCAGTGTCGTCGTCACCGCGCTGGGGTACACCACAACAGCAACCATCCATAGGCTGGCCATTCATGTACATCCTTGGTTAACCCTCAGTGTCGTCGTCACCGCGCTGGGGTACACCACAACAGCAACCATCCATAGGCTGGCCATTCATGTCCTTGGTAAACCCTCAGTGTCGTCGTCACCGCGCTGTGGTACACCACAACAGCAACCATCCATCGATCGGATGGCTAAGCCTAAATTTCCGACAAAACTAGATCATACTGATCAAAATCTGACCTCAAAATTAGAATTGAACTGAAAAAGACCGAATGTCCACACCCAAGGACACCACTCGCCCGAGTGTTGGGACAAAACTGATAACGATATGCCTGATGCAGGATGTAAAATCTGTCGGGCTAACGGCTCGTCAAAGAAATCTAACGTGCGAAGAAAAAAAGAATGTACCTATCTGTGTGGTTACAAAAGTCCAAAAAACCCGCGGGCTGCTCCCCGCTGACCCCCAGAGGGCGCAGCCCCTGTCGAGCGGGAAGCCTGATACGGTTGTGAGGTTAAGCAGGCTTGTGCAGGACGTGACGATTCCTTGGGTGAGCCCCAGAACCAGAGCGCCATGTGTCGGCTCTGCATACATGGATGCCTCCTTGGATGGCGGGGAATGCCCAAGATCTGCCCCTGCCTTCCCTTGAGGGCTAAACTGTTCCACAGGGGGCCGACCCAAAGGGGTATTCCGGGGGCAATACCTGCGGCAAAGGAGACGAAGTGGACACCACACAAATCAGGCAACGTCTCGACCCACACAAAACAATGGCCACAGTCACCCTAGAAATAGGCCTGACGTCTTCCTTCGAAGTCGGCGTACAGCTGCCCATGAGGCAGGGAAATAAAAAACGGTTGTACACGCAAAAATCAGGCCCAGGTGAAAGCCAAAAGTCCAAGCGGACGATTACCTGACCTTCCACTGGAATTCACAGCCGGTGTTCGATGAAAAAAAAAAAAAAAAAAAAAAAAAAACTAGCTTATTTGTGTACAAGTTAGTTGGTTGTTCCTCGACACTCGGGCAGATGTCCTCCGACTTCAAATGAAGCTTCCAGTTAGTCGACTCCTACAGCATGCTTGATAGGGAGGCAGTGGATCTATTCTTTGTTTTCCCCACAATGGGACCCCGGAACCCACAGAGGGACTTAAGAGTATGAGGCCAATAGCTTAACCACTTCATCAGAGGAAGATTTTAAAAAAAACCTTTAAGAAATCATCTAGGGCATTAAACGATTGGAAGGTCTAAGGAAGATTGGTGAGAAGATATCAAACCAATAGAACCGGTCAACTTTACAATATCATAAACATAAATGACAAGTGAACGTTACTGCTAGAGAGCCTTCGTAAAACGGTAATATGCAAAAATAGAGCACAGATGAGTTAGATGGGCACAAACAGAAACAGCAGTTCTGGGACAGCGGGAGATATAAGGGGTGAAATCAATGAACTGCAGTAAAGCTACACTAATATCATAAAACAATATTTAAAAAAACAAAAAACAGAACCAGTTAGCTTCGCAGTACCACAAACATCAATGACACGTGAGATGACAGAACTGACATGTGAGATGACAGAACTGACACATGACAAAACTCTTTAATGAAAAGTATTCTAAAAAAAAAAAAAACTGTACAATAGTCATTACTGTCTGTATGTATCACTTTATAGGGCGGTGTAGACAGGGGGTCATGTGCTTGAGGGTTTAGGGCCACACGGCTAGTGGTGTCGCCACGAACTGTACAAGTTAGGATGTTTAATTGTGCTCCGGACAGAAAAACCTCCATCACCTGACCAGGGGTCGAACCCTGGTCTCCTGCATGTGAGCCAGACTTTGTAACCGCTCGGCCAGCCACTCCTCTAAAACTCTTTAATAACAGCAGGCAAACAAGCACACTTTAGAGAACCACTAAAAACAAACCCCTAAATGCATTCAAAAACAAATGCCTGAGAAAACTGATGACAATTTAATTGATGAAATCAAGAAAGGTGGAGAAATCAGACACTTGTCTGGACAAGAACTTGAAAAAAATTGTTATGAGGCAAAGAAGATTGTGTTATACTGAGCACAGGCTAGAAAGAAGTAAACAAAGAATCATAAAATAGGCAATGAAATGAGAAATACTTGTAGTGATAAAATGAGGACGCCCAAAACCAAAAGAAACTCTAACATAAATATTAATGATAAAGGCCAAAGGTTCTGGACTGGATTCAACCCACAATATCGAAAAGACTGCACATGATAGAATGGAATTGAGGAACAAATGAACGAACGAATGTAAGAATGAACGAATGAACAAACTATATTTTTGAAGTGTTAAGAATTGGGCATACAGACCCGCTTAACACTCTGCCCTTCCAGTCCCATTCCTTGCATAAAGTTATTCATTCATACATCCTTTTTCAAGGTAAAACAACAAATTTCAAGAACATCTATGTCTTAATTATAAAAGATGGAATGTGCTCTCTAATTATACTTATATTAGTGAACTTTAAAAAAAGAATAGTAAAAAAACCTATTCCTATAATATTATAAGTCTAACAGGTAACTTAATAATATAAACATCAGACTAGAAAGACTGTGAGCACCAGACAATGGCACAACAGGAGCACAACAGTATAATAATGATGATGATGATGATGCAAGAACAACAGTACAGCTGCAGTAAAACACTGGCTTCTTTACCTGGACTGTATGTGCAAAGTTCTCTTCTCCTCAGTGTCTACTGCCAACTGCTGCAGCTCCGTCCCCTTCACCTTAACCAGGTTTACTGACATTTTGCAAGAGAAATTACATGAAAACAGACACCATCTCTACAATCTTAGTTTTCTTTATTACTAACGGTAAATATGATTCCATCATTGGGGGTCAACTGATCTATCAAAACATTACTCTAGCATGATATGCCCGATGACATGAAAAGGGTCCTTCCCTTTATTCATTATCTAGCGCAGTGTTTTTCAACCTTTTTATACCCGTGGCCCAACATTCCATAGGAACTTATTGCAGGGCCAAACTAACAGCTAACCAGACACAAGGACCAAAAAAAAAAAAAAAATGTAGCAGTAATTTTTTTAAAATCCAATGTCAGATAAATACAATTTCCATTTATGCGACATCTGCTGCTGCTCAGAGGTTAGAAAATCTATGGTACTCAACAGGAGTTTGGGAACTTATGCCTCTTTTATTTTTATCCTTGATGTGTTAATAATCTTACAGACTGCAAGAAAGCAAAAACTAACCACAGTAACCCGCTACATGATTATGTAAAAAATAACAAAAATGTGGACTTTTCCACTGCCCACCAATGGGCCACGACTTACCAGATGAAGAACACTGCTATAGTTTGCCATTGTATATCCCACAGTCTATTTCTCTATTCCGTTCTATGCTGTGCTATCCCTTTGATATCATGGATAGAATCCAGTTCAGCACCTTTGGCCTCTCTCATCAATGTTCGCCATATAGTCTTTCTTTACCCTGATCGTTTCCTCAATCCCTCTATTTCATATTTCAGTGTCTGGTGATTCTTTGCTCATCTTTGTGTCCTTCACTTATTTTCCTCAATTCAAGGTAGTCCAAGAAGACAATGGAGAGATAATGTTCAGACAGACCTGCAAACACTGCAAATGGAAAGAGCAGGGCAACCAGAGAGATAAATGGAGGCGGGTGATATCTGCAGCAATGAACCTCAAGGGCTCGGAATGCTGAAGAAGAAAAAGAAAAAAGGTAGTCCCTTGGTACATACTGCCACTGGGGTGTGAAGTTTGACTCATTCGTACATCGTCCTCCGATGCAGCAGCTATATTAGTGTCTCCATGCTCACTGTATCAGTAGGAGTTGACTGGGGTATTATACCTCTTTGCCCCACAACCAGTTTTTTTACGTCTGTTTGCATTTAATACCCTTTTCCAACAGGCAGTTCATCATCAATGACTCCTTTGTCTCAATCTCTCTGGAATTCAGCTCATTCAGTATGTTCCCCCTGTCCACCATTCTGTTCCCACTAACTACAGCAGAAACAGCCAGTCTGTCAGCTCTTTAATTTCCTTTCACCCCGGTGCGTCCTGGTGTGTGCAACAAAGATAGTTTCTTGAGGTGGGACTTCTGGATGCTGTCAACCCATTCAAGTAAGAGTTTGCCTAGTTTGTCTATCTAGATCTTGTTAAGCATGTTCACTGAGTCTGTCACTTTCAATGCATGAGTTGTTTTCTGTTCTGCCATATATTCAAGTGCCACTCTGATAGCTGATACTGTGGTTGTGTCGTGGTATCCAGAATGATGGGTAGCCAGTTTATGTGTGGGCTGGTGAAATACCTTACGTAATCTCCTTCTTCTTCTTCACATTCACCAGTAATCTGAAGTATTAATTAACATCCTATGGATGAGAATCACACTGTTACAAATCCCGGAAACCCTGTTCACCTCTACAGCCATGTAGCTCAGTTATATTGGGGATCCAGTGTGAGTGGGTCTGGCTGGATGGTGTGTTACCTGAATGACAGTAGTAGTAGTCGCAGTCATATTTGAGGTTTCAACTTCCCTACAATCAGGTCACCACATACATGCTGCATTTCTGTGCAGTGAGATTAAGAAGAAATGTCCCTCCCTGTTCCATATTTTTTTTTAAATGGTAAAAAAAATTTGAACCAACATTCACCACCAGAAATGCATTTTGTCGTTGTGGAAGTAGTCGATTACGATACATGCATAAAATTATTACATGAGATTCCACGTGTGGGTTCTGGGACCCTGTTATTGGGAAAACAAGAACAGATACACTGCCTACCCAAAAGCATGTCGCAAGAGTCGACTATTTGGGAGCTTCCTTTCAAGTCAGAGTGCATCTGCCTGAGAGGCAAGGAACCAACAATCTGCATACAAACAAGTCAGATTTATAAAATGAATGCGCAGGCAAAACTAAAATTCTGCAACAAGACCAAAGTCCAGAAGTGGGTGAACAACACGAACTCTCCACTGGAGTTTACAGCCATTGAACACTAAAAAATAGAAGATTATTACCTGGTTTAAATTGCTTGTATGTAATAACGACCTGGAAAGTAAAGTTGGCCGGCCTGATGCTGATCACATCACCCATCTTGTGCCAATTGGTCTATAAAAATATAGGTCTAGCCCTATATGCCCTATGCGCCTAAAGGCGTGGAAGAGGGTCCTTTACTTTACTTTACTTACTTACTATGTAATAACGACATCAGAAAACAAAAACTGGGACTCACATCTTGCATTTTGTGTTGCCTGATATTTTTCTAATTTCTCCTGCTCCACCTGCTTCTGTTGCGTCTGCCACAGAAGTTCTTGGCGAAGTTGTCTCACCTTCACCAAAAGTACCTCTCGTTGTGAAAGCTGAAAGACAAGGATAATTTTTTAAATACCAGTCTTTCACAATCAACGGAAATTTCAGTGACAATACCAACTCTGCACAGGGATTATCATTTATAAACATACATACGTAAAACTGGGAGTTGTTAGCCTAAAAACATTTGGAGAGATACTCAGGAGGAGATTGGAGCACTTATGTTCATGTCTGATGTGCGATGATGATGATCTAAAAAAAAAAAGGGTGTTGATCAGTGTAATGTAGAAAAAATATTGAAACACTAATAGACAGTTTCAGTGAAACAAAGAAAGACCCTTTTCTCCTCTGGGAAACTACCTGTGTAAGGACATATAGTGATACATTTTTATAAGATTTTTTTTTTAAATTATCACCTTTTTGGCCTTTGCCCACTTATTGATTAACTGGATTTGGTTTACCTCTGTAGTTTAGCTATTAGCTAGATTTTGTTTAGCACTGTAGTTTAGCTATTAGCTGGATTTTGTTTAGCACTGTGGTTTGGCTATTAGCTGGATTTTGTTTAGCTCTGTAGTTTAGTTATTAGCTGGATTTTGTATAGCTCTGTAGTTTAGCTATTAGCTGGATTTTGTTTAGCTCTGTAGTTTAGCTTTTATGTGGATTTTTTTTAGCTCTGTAATTTAACTATTAGCTGGATTTTGTTTAGCTCTGTAGTTTAGCTATTAGCTGAATTTTGTTTGCCTCTGTCATGTAGCTCTCTCCATAATGTCTGAATTAGTAATTTTCATACCATATCATTCATTCTAATCTATTCTTTTCAGTTAATGAATTTTTGTTGTTTATTAAAAACAGTTTTAGCCCACTGAGCAAAACTGGAGGTTGAGTTAATACCAACGAAATAACAAATTTAAACAAATTAATCTTCCACACAATAAATCATAAACCATGACATGGGATGCCAGTTCTAACTTCCTTGTACATTTTACCACACTCAGGATAATACTGAGTGCCTGTTAGTGCATCAGTGCGCTAAAATATTTCCATGACTTGGCTTCTAACTATTCGGTTCCGAAAAAGAACAAACAAATAGTAATATTTTTTAGGGAGAATAGGTCATGAGTCTCAACCATCCCAGTCCTTATGTCTTTGGTCTGATACCTGAGGGAAACATGCAGACATGTAAGCATTTGGCACATATAGCTGAAGCTTCTAAATATGGCCCTGTTGGTTATAGTCCAAGAAAAAAGTACAGAGATCAGACAGCTTGCAAGCCAACAGTGAAGCTTATACCTTAATCCAGATTGCATATCTAAGAAAGAAATTAAAAAAAAAAAATCCCTAAGTGAGTGATTTGTCAGTAAAATCCACATTTACACTGTTCGCTGGCACCTTTCCATCTTTCCAGAAGATAGATTTATACTGTGTTATAAAGATGCAGCCAACTAAGGCCAGGGATGAAGTTGCTCCTATCTACAGCAACAACAACAACAAAAAACTGGACAGTTTTGTAGACCATTTCCTGCCCATGCGGCATGATCCCCCTAGGAAACTATTTGAATATTATCTCACACAGACTATATGCCCTCTTAGAAGATTCTAGTATTTAAGCATATGATGTTTTTCCATTGGATGTCTTTTTTTTTTTGAAACTGAATATTATTACTGTTTAAAAATGAAGGTGCCAGTCTAACGTATTTCAGCGTTTGTAACTAATATTTAACTGTTGTTCATGATGTTTATATTATGCAACCTTTTAGACATAATAATTTTGGATAAGGTTTATTACTATACTTTTTAAAACGTTCAGTTATGTAAGTATAATTAGAGCACATTCCAGCTTTTTAAATTATGATCTCGATGTGAAATTGTTAAAAATATTATTAACTGTGAAAAGGAGTGGCGTAGTGGCTAGATGCTCGTGTGCGGATCGGAAGGTGGTGGGTTTGCTCCCTGGTGGAGCCGGACTTTAAAAAAAAAAAACAACCTCAACTCCCAGGTCGACCCAGCCTTGAGTGGGTATCGGGTGCAGTCCCGTGAAGTAAAGGCGGCAGGCGTGATGCTGACCAAATCCCCCTTGTGCTGATTGGCCTTAAAAAATATAGGTCTAGCCCTATATGCCCTATACCTCTAAAGGCGTGTAAAAAGGGACCTTTCCTTTTTTTTTTAAACTGTGAAAGGATGTACGAATGAATAACTGGATGCAAGGACTGGAGTGGAAGGGCAGAGCGTTAGACGGGCCTGCGTGCCTCATTCTTAACAGTTGAAAACAAAGCCTGATTGTTAGTTCCTTCCTTCTCTCAACCTGCCTTGTTTACTTTAAAGGAAAAGGCAAAACCAATTACTTGAAAACAAAGCCTGATTGTTAGTTCCTTCCTTCTCTCAACCTGCCTTGTTTACTTTAAAGGAAAAGGCAAAACCAATAAGTTGGAAACAAAGCCTGATTGTTAGTTCCTTCCTTCTCTCAACCTGCCTTGTTTACTTTAAAGGCAAAAAAAAGGCAAAATTGTTTAACCACCTGCCTGTTTACTTTAAAGGAAAAGGCAAAACCAATTAGTTGGAAACAAAGCCTGATTGTTAGTTCCTTCCTTCTCTCAACCTGCCTTGTTTACTTTAAAGGAAAAGGCAAAACCAATTAGTTGGAAACAAAGCCTGATTGTTAGTTCCTTCCTTCTCTCAACCTGCCTTGTTTACTTTAAAGGAAAAGGCAAAACCAATAACTTGGAAACAAAGCCTGATTGTTAGTTCCTTCCTTCTCTCAACCTGCCTTGTTTACTTTAAAGGAAAAGGCAAAACCAATAACTTGGAAACAAAGCAGGTTACAGAAGCTGTCAGATCAGAAGATCAATGCTCTGTCTGTTACAGCTTCCCTCTTTGACCAGCTGCCAAACAGGCCAAGGTTCTAGTCTAAAAATAAAAATAAAAATAAAAAGGAACCATAACTGATTGTATTTACCTTTTCTGTGGTGTAGGCAGGGCTGTATTTGAGCCTGCGGTTTTAAGGCCCATGGCTAGTACTGCTGCCACAGACTGTGCAGGTTCTGATTTTATCTTTGCCCCCAACAGAATCTTACCGAGGATTCTAACCCAGGTCTCGTGCATGAGAGTCTATTGTTCTTATCCGTTCTGCCACTTATTCCTCTATAACCTACTCTACCTTACAATAACATTGTTTTGTACCTCCTTTCGTACTTACATTTCTACTTCCTAGGATAAGCTGTTTTTTGGGGTTATACTAAACAGAATTAAGTGAACCAGACATTCTGATCAAACTAGACCCATTTTTAACCAAGAAAATTTGTCTCGCACCTTTTCAGCGTTTTCATTTGACGACAGAAGCCTGTCCTCTATACTGGAATGAACACGTTTCACTGAGGCTAGAGTCTGAGTAATTGCCCTCTGTACCATGTGAATTCTGAGGAAAATCACAAACATTAATATAAGTATCCTCACCTAGTGTAGTTTAGTCAATGAAATTAGTTTATTATTTATCAATGTCTACTTCCGATGAAACCATTATTAGAAATTCTCAATAAATTGTAGCTAATAATTCAACATTTAAAAAAAATATTCCATAACTTGAAAAAAAATTGTTTAAATATGATGTCACCATGTTTGTCTGCACCATGACATCATGTGCTTAACACTCTTGATATCCTTAACAAAAATACTGACAGGTTACAAGAGATTAGCATGGTTACTGTAATTTCTATCACACTGTTCAGACTTTAATTTGAAGCACCCTTGTATATTTAACCCTACCACATGGCAAACAGACCTGCACAACAAAAAAGCAAATAGTCAAATCGTGGCCCAAGAAATATATAGAAGAAAATGTATTCCATGGAAAAAAAAAACAATCAAATACAGATGACCCAAAGAAGTTATGAATAAAGGAGTTACAAATTTTTTTTTTTTTAAAGATAAAGAATAATTTAGCGACATGGAAAGAGATTAACACCTCAAAAAAAAAAATTGTGCACTATGAAAATGCACTTAAAATAACAATGCACTGGACAATTAACAACAAAGGTATTCTGGTCACCCCCCTTTCTGTGTGTGTGTGTGCGAGCACGCGAGAGAGAGAGAGAGAGAGAGAGAGAGAGAGAGAGAGAGAGAGAGAGAGAGAGAGAGAGAGAGAGAGAAAGAGAGAGAGAGAGGAAAAGAGAGAGAGAGGAAAAGAGAGAGAGAGAGAGAGAGAAATACAGAAAATACAGGAATTCTGGAATGTTTTTTTTCTACGTGACTAGGGTGAAAGGGTTATAATTGGAGTTAAAATCACTTAAACATAATTTTTGCCTCATTGAAGAAAAAAAGGGTTGGCTTGAACGTGTGGCTTAAGTTCAATAACACGTCTGTCTCTGGCTCTTACCGTTTGAGATTGCTGGTACTGTATGATGGTCGTACAGCAAATTGATCTACATACACAGCACCAAGGCTATTTCTTTTAGCAACCTCTGTATCTGGTATCTGTAATATTTAGAAATGATTAGAAATGACATATTATCACTAAAACGTTTCTAATCTCTTTCAGTATCAGAAAAGGCTTCATGTTTATCTGGACTTGCTCATGTGCATCCGTCAACACATTATTATGCTTGTACAATTTATTTTTAATCAGCGTATATACTACACTGAAATATTGTGGTCATATCAAGCGCCATGACGGATTGGACAAAATTATAGCAGAAGGCATGGTAACAGGAAGGAGGGACAGGGGCCAACCGACACGAAGATGGGCACAGGATATCAGGGACTCCTTGAGTATGAAAGTACAAGAGGCGGGAGAACTGGCGAGAAAACGAGTTTCTTTTTTAAGGTTGACTATGATGAGAGCGACGTTCTGCAAAGGACCTGCTACATGATGATGATGATGTATATACTAAAGCACTCAAACAATATAGTAGTACAAGTTAGATATTGTGAGGGCCCTTTGGGAGCGAGTGAACAGTGCAGAGGTGCAGACTGATCATTACGGTCTAAGGAGAATGGCGCTATGAGGAGTTACCAGGGGATCTGGCTGATGCTCAACACTCAAGAGAAGGATGAGACGGATAAACAATCAAACTGTTACTGGTGCCATCGGAACTGGAACTCTTCGCTTGCTGCTGAAGATGAGGACTGAGCGCTTATGGGAGTGTCCCGAGTGCTGCAATGTCGATTCTTGATTCAACAATACAGTAGTCGGCAGTGGTTCACTTATGAAAAGCATAAACAGAATTGATTACATGTGCTTTTTCACAACAAGCATTTAGCAGGACCAAGAATTATTATATTTACAAAGGTTGCTTATTTGACCTCTGGGGCTGTAATATACCCATCGTTTTGTTGTTGCCACAACTGCCACATCTGGGCATCAGCTATGAGCATCTGGGACTGAAAGCTTTAAGAGGGAAGCGATTTAAAATGTGGATAACAAGAGAAGGAAATTACCACAATATTAATCAATTACCACATTATTAGCTGCCCACCTGTAGGCCTCATTGGCATCTGTGGCTTAGGCGCTGCAAATGCGCTTCATAATACCGGTGTGCCGGGTTCGATCCCAGCTGCGGACGGTTTGTCTTGCATTGGTTTCGACAGTGCTACCAAGAGCTGTTCGTTCAGAAAGCACTGGCAAACGAGTGAATGTACAATTTGCCTTGAAAAAAACCACAACAGCCAAAAAATGCTGGGGATGGTTCTGCAATGTCCTGTAAAGGATATGCAACTAACTGTAGTCCTCAAGGTTGTGCATCTGAATCAACATCAAGTCAGATTTGTTAATACTTAACCTTAAAATTAGTACCAGGAAATGTTGTAGGAAGTAAAGGCGGCTGGCATTTGTTGACTACACTACCCATCAAGTGCCGATTGTTCTAATAAAAAAAATAGGTCTAACAACATATGTCCAATGCACCATTGGCAGGAAAGAAGGTCCTTTACTTTACTTTCAACCAACATAAACAAAACAGGAAAATCAAGGCACAGTTTCCCAGTTGTAAATTTGAATCAAGAAGACACAAACAATAGATTGAACAATTTATTGCCTGGCATATTTTGCTGTATCTCGTCAGGTGCATGCTACAGTAACACTTACATAAATGAAGCAAAAAAGTGAATCCTTTATAACTGAAGCACAAATTCAATGCCACACGGTGCTGACACGGCTTGGACTTTAAGAAGAAGAGCTCGCTAGTGACATTTTACATCTAGATGCACATAATCAATGATATGGAAGTTGGCATAGTCTACAGACAGTGAATGCATACCAGCTGCTCCAGCTGAGGGTTTCCAGATGCTTTGTCATAGTGGATGAAGATCTTGTTAAACAATCCAAACAGCAAGGTGTCTGTCTGGTGTTTGATTCCTGGCACCTGAAGCTGTAAGATAAAGGTAAATGTAGATGTTGAGAGTGTGAATCTTTACAGCTTCAGGTATTCTTTATCACAACATGAATTTCAGTGGTCAACTCCATTGCCTTACCCTTCCAGACAATTTCCAGAAAATAATGAATACTCTCTGGTATTTATGTTTATGAGGTATGGTTAACCCCCGCAACCATACTGGACAGATATCCCTGTGTGGGTTCTAGGATGCCATTTTGAGAGGAGGGGCAGCCTGACCCACTGCTGCCATTGTTGCACATGACTAATTAGAGCCATTTCCTTTTAAGCCTGAATGCATCTACCTGGGAGGCGAGGAACCAACAGTCCACATACAAATAAGCTAGATCTGTAAAACAAATGTGCATACAAAACTAAAGTTCTGGAACAAGACTAAAGTTCAGAAGTGGACAAACAACCAGAACTTTCTGCTGGAGTTTATAGCCAGTGAACACCAAGAAGAAAAAGAAGGAGAACTCTCTTAAATTACCAAATAATTCCCAGAAAATGATGAAACCTGGCTAATATCCATTTTTATGATGTTAATAAGTGTTAGAAGCAACATGATTTTATGATGCTGTATTATCACATTCCACGCCACTGCACATTGGGCACTCCCACTCATGCTCTGTCCTCCTGTTTTTTTTTTCAGCAGCCATCCCAAGGTACACTTACTGATTGTTCCCTTGAGAAGTTGGTTGCAATGTCTCCTATCTTGACCTTAAAGACAGCACTGACATGCTTCACCAGGATTCAATCCGTGATTATGTAATCTTGTTAGAATCAGAGATCTGTCGTTATTCACAAGTCTAGTTCATATAGCACTGATGACACCTGCTCTGTTCTATGATACTTGCTTGACAACTGAGCAGAACAGTCCAAATCACAGTTTTTCAACAAACTCTCATACAAATTAGGTATGAGCCAAACAGCTCTCTGGCAGTGTCTTGGTGCTGAACAGACTCCAAGAACATGTCTTGCATGACTGTTCTCTCTTGGCGGAGCTGCTGAGCAACATGTGGCCACACCCAGTAGACCTGACAACTAAGCTTTGGGGAAACCTAAAAGACCCTGAGATGACATCCCAGTTTATGGCTCACAGTGGATTATGCGCATGACCGGAGATCACTGAGAAGAAGAAATTTGACCACACAGCCATACTGGACAAATTAAATTAAAAAAAAAAAGCTTGCTATGCTAGGAATCAAAATCAGATTGATCTCAACAGTCCTGACACTTTTTATGATGGCTCTTTCAAAGTGGTAGTAATAGTAGCACCAACACATTTTCTAGAAGTGACTCAAGATCTGAACATCAAGGAAGACTGAATAAAAAACAGCATCTTGTCTCAGAAGCTGAAATATTTGGTCATATCAAGCACCACAGTGGACTGGAACAAATAATAGCAGAAGGCATGGTACCAGGAAGGAAGGGCAGGGGCCGACCAACACGAAGATGGACAAAGGATATGACTCCTTGAATACAAAAGTACACAAGGCAGGAGAGCTAGCAAAAGAAAGTTTCTTTTAAGCAGACAGTATGACAGCGACGTTCTGCAAAGGACCTGCTACACGAAGATGATGATGACCCAAGTATCCTTTTGTTTTTCCTAAATATTTGCGCTATTTTCTATGTTAACCCCATTAAACAACGACAGAAACTCCTATAAGAATAATTTAGTGATTAAAAGTCATACGTTTACGATAAATACAGTTTATCATCATCCCAATGTAGCAGGTCCTTTGCAGAACACCAGTCTCATCACGGCAAGCTGGAAAAGGTGCAGGCACTGAAAATACTCTGATTAATAAAAACCTGATAATTGTCTAAAAAGAACATCCTTACACTGGAACTTACAAGGCAAAGGAGACGGAGCTAAAAAAAAAACATCATGAGGTAGAGAATGAGAGACAGTTTGTGCAGAAGGCGTAGAGGGGGATGCAGAAGATGGCAAACAAAAATGGACTGGCATGACTTATCTGAGGAACTGCGGTCCGAGAGGGGAAAAAAAGGCAGCAGAAAAGATTTCTGGCACACATACATCGGAATCCTCATATGCTGTGAAGTTTGAACCCCTAGCTGAAATTCTCCTTGCGTGATCTATCTGAGGAGACTGGAGTACTCACAGAGATATCCGTGTGCAACCCGAAAGAATATTTAATCGAAACCAAATACATTTTGAATAGAAATGCTGTTAAGTGCTATTATATAGTCAATACTTTAATTATTAACACAGTAAAACCTCATTAACACAAATACTTTATGCAAAATCAAGAGAGTTTGTGTTACAAACTTTCATGTTAACTAGGGATAAATTAAAGCATCCCTGTAGGGACCAAACTGTTGTTCTTGTTAACCGAGTATTCTTCTTAAGTATACTTATTTTAACAAGGTTTTACTGTATAACATAGCCAATATTTATAGCTTTAATAAACATCCAAAACAAATAATTCAATGTCAAGTTACCTTGTTAGAGAAGAACAGAAGGCCTGAAAAATTAATTTCAGCTTCAATTTTTACTTTAAACACATTTCCATGGCCACACCATATTCTCACCAGCACAGCTATTAACAATAGTTAAGGATAAAACGGTCTTATCAAATTTAGTTTTAAACATATTGAGGATAAAACAGTCAAATCAAATTTTGTTTTAAACACACTGAGGACAAACTAGTCATATCAAATTTTGTTTTAAACACATTAAGGATAAAATGGTCTATTCAAATTTTGTTTTAAACTTATTAAGGATAAAATGCTCGTATCAACTTTTGTTTTAAACTTATTAAGGATAAAATGCTCGTATCAACTTTTGTTTTAAAAAGGTGACAATTACAAATGGTTTGGTTATCTCCTTCATTATGCAGTCACAACAGCCACCAACAAAAGTGCTACACCTAAAAAGATTTGGTGTGAAAGCAAGAGGGCGCCGAGGGAGAAGACAGACTGATGACATGAAAGACAAGAGTACATTCACACTGAGTACTCAGTCCTCCGTGATAAAGCAGCCATTCCAAGGTAGCTCTGCTGATTGTTCCCATGAGGAGTATGTTATAAAGTCTCCTATTAAAGCCTTGAAGGCGGCATAGACATGCGTCGCCGTTCTTTACTCCTATGTCATGAAATCATGTTAGCATCAGAGATTCATCACTAGCCCAGTCTTTACGGCGTTGATGGTTTTCTATCTGCACAAAATCACAATAGTCAATGTCACCCACTGAGTGCTGAACTGCAAAAAGTTCCTTCCCCTAACGCTTAACAGCCTGTTCTTCTTAGGCATTAATAAGTACACGGATGATGGTTAGCATGCTGTGCAATGGTTTACACCAGGCTGTGATACGTGCACCTCTAGGCCAAATAAAAATGGTGTTAACAGACTCCTAATAAGTCAGCTTTCACAACATGCTTGATAGGGAGCTTAACGGCAAAAATGAACATTCACAGTAGCTTTCACAAGAAAGGATACATTTGGCTGCAAGATCTACATTTGCATCACTCCTCTGAAGTCCAAAGCTCTGCCATGTTGGATTCTGGAGAGAAAAAAAAAATACAAACGTCTGCTTATATGTTTCACTCTTTTTTTTAAATGTGATATATTCTTCTATTTTTCTTGTCCTTTATTTTCCCACTGAAGCATAAGGCTACAACCAACTCAAATCAAGCCTTTGCTATTTGATGCAACTCACTTTATGTCCTACCAAACTTGTTTACTTCTATCACTAATTCTCCTCTCCATATGTGCTTTTTTAAGTGAGTGTGTGTGTGTGTGTTTTCACATGTGTTTGTGTTTAAGTGTGTGTTCATGCATGCATGCATGCGTCTCTCTCTCTCTCTTTCTCTCTCTAGTGCTGTAAATCTCAGTCCAAGGACAGTCTAGTTATACTAATATCAGGATCTCTCAATGTGTGTCCTATCCGCCACCAGCATCTTTTCCTCACCTCTTGATTAACTTAAATTTGTGTAGTTCTCATCTACAGCTCAGTAGTGATCCTTCATACTACTTAATTTGTTTCCTGTTATGCACAATTACCAGCTAATGAATATCTGTAGTTTGCTGGTAATTATTTTATTAATTCTTCATGTTTCTGCTCCATACAGAAGCACTGTTTTGACATTACAGAGTTACAAATTCTATACTAGATACTAGGTTTAGTTTCTTTTTAACATCTAAAGGGATGAGATAAATGGGGAGAGTGCAGTCAAGCTAATGACAGCTATGTTTTTTTTTTACATATGCCTTCTTCCTTATTTCATATTATAGCCCTTTATATTAATATTTTTTCCTACCATTACATTCTTCTTGGTTTCAAGTTGACCTTGGTTTTTCTAGAAGCTCTGTTGTGTTGTCTGTTTTAGTTTTCCAGTCACAGTTTGTGCTGTATTTAGTACTCTGTTGATACACAACTTTGGTTAAAAAGTTTGGTTGTATTTGTGTCCATCTTTTCCATCCCCTCTGTTGAACTATCTGATCACATTTTACGTTATACTTAGAACTTAGTTTCATTTCACGATAGGTAAGGAAAATAAAGTCCATAGCACCTATAAGGGAAAAAATGTATATTCAATGGAAACAACATCAGTGGATGTTCAGTGAGTATAGTGGCAAGGTGGGACTTTACGGGTTTACATTATTGTTCCATAGCCGTTATGGATTTACGCACTTGAAAGAGTAGTGCCTGGGGTGATTTTCTGTCATTAGACAGACTGTGGGATCAGGTGGGAAACGCGTAGAGCCTTTATGGTCTTCCGCAATTGAGAGAGTATTGCCTGGGGTGTTGATTCCATTACGCCACATAATAATCACTGGGCACGACAACTGACAAATTTCCAAAGGAAAAACATGAATTACCCAAAAAGGGTGGGATAATTTTTACCTCAGATACCAGTGAAAATACCCAAGCATTACATAAAATATACTCCAATCCATTAACGATAATGAGGGGAAAAAAGTGAACCTTTTTTTAATATGGGGGAGGGAGATTGTAATGGGGGATATTTTCACCCACATTAGGAAGGTTGGGGGGTAGGCCCATGGATAACCCAAAACACTGAGATATTCCAGATACTCGGATTAAACGAGGATCTTGAGATAGGTGACAACCACGAGTTATCATGTGTATCACGATGACGCGACCAAAGGTCGCCACGTGGAAGTAAAGGACCACCACGTATTGCCACGTGAAACTAACCCATGGTATAAGTCAGACTTAATTCTGGTCAAGTTAGTTTGTGTCGACTTGTTGGAGTGAGAGGATGGGAGACTGAGCGTAAGAATGTCACCGTGAGATTGCTTGTTGCGAAAGGAGACCCTGACGACAAAGTGTGAAGTCAAGATCAACCAGGCCAGTCTGTGTAATGGCAAGAAGATCAACCTGATATAACGGAGCTGAGTCTGGTCAGTGAATGCTTGAGGAACCTGTGAGTTGAAGGCTGCGTGAAGTGGTGTGCGAGAGCTGTTCATTAGGACAATGACAGAACTCATATGTAAGTGAAAACATGCCAATAAACTTATGTTTCGTACGGCTAAGTGGGTGTCGGCTTGTGCCAGTTATGTAATGTAGAGTGTGTGATAATGAACATTCACAACACACACACTAACCACCACCTATACAACGAGGTATTACAACCCTAATCATTGCAACTGTCATAGATTTCTTTATGCTATGAAAGCTCCTGTGGCCTTGCATATGTATAAACACATACACTAGCAGGCACGTATATATAGTGAGTTATAAATATGGGTACATGTTCCAGAGTATGTATTTACTAACAAGTAATGAAATGTGAAGGGAGAGCAGTTTGAGGAACTTAAATAACAGAGTTGTTTTGAACATTTTTAGTTTGGTTAAACATTTGTTAAACATGTGGCCACATTTCTGATTTACCATTGAACATATTTCTTAATATGAACAATGGTCAATGAATGTGTTACAAAAATAAAACTGTGAAACAATATAAACTTAGCTCGCACAATATATGCACATACTGATCTAATGACAGAAGTCTAAACTGTTATTTATCATAATTTTACAACAGGATAAACAAAAGACAATGATCTCAATAAAAGTACTGTCCACACTAAAGGTTCCAAAAAGAAAGACAGATAAAACAAGCCAGACAGAAAAAGAAATTTCACAATTAATAGAAGGAGCCTTACCGACAGGAACTAAAGGCAGAAACATAACCATTTAGTCAATATTCAAAAGTACATAACAAATGAATTCAGCTCACCAATGATCCTGTAATTTTTTCACTTGTGTAGAATGCTGAGGATATCGTATTTAATAGCATGGTTTAGTTACTGATTGCACTTTTCACATTCAAATGAAACATAATATGAAATAAAACACAAATTTTTATTAACCCACCCATGCTGGGTTACTAGTTACTCTGTCACTGTTTTGTGGAGCTCCACAATATAACTGTGCTTTCTGGCTACATGGCTGAACAGGATATCTGGGATTTGTATCTTTTTTATTCTCATCCATGAAATATTAATCCTACAAACTGCAAACTTAAAAACATTTTCAAGAGACACTAGACAACAAGCTATGGGCCAGTATTTGTTTTTGTTTTGTTAATGTGAGAAAAAATTCCATCAGCTGTGCTGTAGAAAGGTGTTCTAAGGGTTCAGAGCGCAGCCTTTTATCATTTTTCACTGTTGTTTTGCATTTCATGAAGATCATCTTGGTGAGCTCTGATATTTGGGAGTAGAGCAGTTTGTCCACTCTGGCCTGGTCTACACCCTCAAATCTGATCTTGCCATTAGAACAATGTTTTGTTTCTTGCAGTTGATTTTTGAGACCGATGTCACTGAAGCAAGAAAGTTTAGGCAAGATCTACCTCCAAAGCCCTTTTTGTACAGGATTGTGTAACCTCAGCCCATTCATAAGCAATGTAATCAATAGCGTTTCTGATGTTTAAGTTCTTAAAAATGCTTTCACATAAATTGTACCCTTACCAACAGCATCATTAACCAACTAAGAAAATGTTCTATGCAAATAATATCTCTTCATAGATACAATAACACCCTGATCCACTGGCTGGATCAGAGATGTTGTATTTGGTGGCAAAAGCATAACACTCGTGTTGTCATCTACATCAGTGTTGCTGGAAGGATGTCCAGTCACATTGTCCAGGAGCAAAAGAATTTTTAAGGGCAAATTTATCTTTTCACATTAAGTCTTCAGTATGCAGCAGAGTTTATTGCAAAAGCAGGATTTAAACAGCTCCTGTTATCCAAGATTGTTTGGTTGACTTCAGACAATGGGCAGTCCCTTTTCAGAGTAACAATTGAGTTGCTCTGGATTTTTGGAGTGGAAAACCAACAGAGGCTTGGTTTTATAATCGCCAGATGCACCTCCTCCAAACAACAATATGAGGCAGTTAGGTACTTGGATGCTTTAAATCCTAGGGCCCTCTTTTCTTCCACTCACACATTTCCAGAACAACCCTGTTTCATCAATTCATCAATGCTGACCACTTGTTGTGGCATGTAACCATGCAACTCAAATACAGCTAAAAACTGTAGCAGCAGTAAGTCCTGCTGCAGTTGATTCTGAAAGTCCTGTACCCTGTCAACAGCGTGTTCATTATTTTCATACTTGCTTATAAATGATAATTTTCCTATAGTTATACAGATTCCTCTATTTCTTAAACTTGGAATTATCTATGTCACAATTAGGCCTACCTTTTTTTTTTCCACTGCCTAAAAATGAATGATCTACCTTCTACAACAACAGGGCTAGCTAGCTCAACACTCCCTCTTACAGTCTGCATTATCACTGTCAGAATTTCTTGAAGGAAATGTGATGCCTTATCTGTTCTACATTCAGTGTGCTATTGAAGTCAGACACACACGCTAAAGGACATGACTATGTATCCCTGTCTAGACTGCTGGACATGCGGGTGCAGCCTGGAGCTGCAAGAAATGAACATTTTACTAAGGAGACAAGACGTTTCATTAACCAACACAGAACAGGTGTCATCAGTCTTACACTTGTGGAGTTTTTAAGGAGGAGACTGGAACACCTATGGATCTGTCTGGAGTGCTGTGATGATAATCCTTTCTAATCACTAATCACACACTGCAGTATTTTTGTAGGGATTATCATCACAGCCTCCACCAAAGTTTCATGAAGATGGCCAAAGAGCAGGTGAGTACAGTAAGTAAAGTAAAGCAGGTAAAGAACACCTTTCCACACCTTCAGGTGTATTGGGCATATAGGGCTTGACCTATATTTTATAGACCAATCAGCACTTAGTGTGTGAAGTGGTCAACATCACGCCAGCCGCCTTTACCTCCAGGACTATACCTGATACCCACTCAAGGCTGGGTCGACCTTGGAGCCAAGGTCATGTTGAAAAAAGTCCAGCCCCCCCATTCCCCAACCTTCTGATCGACAGGCAAGCATCTAGCAGCTACACACCTGATGAATACAGTAATGTGTATAAATAACTTTTTTTTTTTAATGACAAAGAGAAAAAAAAGAGATAAGAATCAGGCTAGTTTACGTGTATCATTATAATAACATTTAAAATTACTTTTTTAATTAGAGTATTTAACTGTAATACTTGTTAATACACCTTACAAAAAATTATTCAGTATTGACAGATAATAAAACGCAACTACAAGTAATTCACACGCAACACACACAAAACCTCACACAAACACACATAAAAAGCCCTATTGTACACATAATGTCTGGGGCATATATACTGGGGTATTACTGTATATATCATCATCATGCAGAAGGTGCTTTGCAGACGGTTGCTCTCATCACTGTCTGCCCGAAAGAAACTCGGTCTCTTGCCAGCTCTCCCGCCTCATGTTCTTTCCTATTCAGGGAGTCACTTATATCCTATGCCCATCTTCGTAGTGGTCAGCCTCTGCCCTGCCCTTCTTATCTGGTACCATGCCTTCTGCTATTATTTTGTTTTCTAATTTGCCACGATGTTACTGTATACTGTTTACAAACATCTAAATTTAAAAGTTACAGAATATGCATAATCAATCAAGGCAGACAACTGCAAGTGAGCAGTGGAACTTATAAGCTACCTTTGTGTTTGACCTTTCTGTGTAAAGTGAAGTAAACTGTCAAGTTACACAGATCGATCTCCTGATCCCCAGGACAGTTCAAATTGCGGATGGCAATGCTCTGCAGATGACGCAATCGTCTCTGAAGAAAAACAATATTTAAATCAATAGAAGAAGACTGTTGGCTGTGTATACACTTCATTTTCCTTGACACTAAAAATAACCGAAAATTTCATCATCGTATAATCATCATCATGTGCTATGCTGATAAGCTCAGGCTGTCACACTTTGCCATCTCATATGATGACCACATATACGGATTAAGTCAGTGTTCTTGTCTCAGCACCATATGGCTAAGCCATCCAAGTATTTATCTCTCTGTTTTTTCATTGTTCTGTTTCCATCAGTCTTGCCAGTTGTTATTAAAGCCAAACAACACAGTCTATGTCAAATTTGGTAAAATCTGTTTACTGGTGAATGCTGGACAATAAGTAATGAATTAAATTGTGATGAAAGTAAAATTTAAAAGAAAAGTGTGGTCGTTTTAGCTGAATGGTGAAAATGTGATGGACAAAGAAGAGAACATTTCATAGTGCTACAATAGATACTTCTTTTTTGTGTTCACCAGCTGTAAATTCTAGGAGAAAAGTTCTGGTTGTCTGTCCACTTTTGGACTTGAGTCTTGTCTCTGAACTTGAGTTTTGCATACATATCCATGTACAGATCTGCCTTATTTGTATGCAGACTGCTGGTTCCACACTTCTCCGGGTAGATGCACTCTGACTTTGAAGGAAACACCACTGACTAGTCGACTCTTGTGACATGCTAGTCAGCGGGCTGTAAGTCCCTCCCTCCTTCCCTTATAATGCATGGGGCCCCCAGAACCCATTCAGGGAACAAAAATCCTAAGGACAAAAATAAAACTCATGGGATATACTGACACAAAAACAGAGAAATGGGAGCGGGGGGAGGGGCAGACCCACTGCCACCCCAACAAGCAGGCCATAACAAGTAGAAATCAGATATATTGGGTCAAATGGTGCATATATTGCTGACTGGCTGTAAACCACAACATAATGTGATAATTTAATTTTAACACACAAAAAAAGAGAACACCAGTGGCTGTCAAATTCCTTGCAAATTGAAGTAATTAAGCTTGAAAATGCTTGAAGGAAGAAGCTTAATCAATCTCAGTTCTAACTCACTGATTAAATTCAAAACAGATTTACAGACCAGAACATGACAGCATAAACAAGTTAAACAGAAATTAGCAGAAAATGATCTTCTCTCACTCGGAAGGTTGTTAAACTTGTTAACGGTTGTCTTCTACTACAACCCCACTACTAGAAGAAATGAGAAACTCATTGAATTGACCCTTTCTTTAATTGTGGTACTGAACGGGTCTTTGTGCCTACTGCCTGTAGTTTTTTGTCTCTAATTACATAATCGAAAACAGCGACTTTATCCAAAAACATCATTCCATAGCTGATAACCACTTCAGTCAGCGTGTTCATTCAATCGGAACTGAGAATAACAGCAGACAATTCTCAATGATCGTCAATATTTTCAATAACAATTACAAACAAACCTGATAAGTTGGTAAATTAAAAGGGTTTTTCACCACCACGTCCTCACTCCCTTGCATGTCGAACACCTTTGTCTTTTCTGAAGATATGAATAAGAAGAATACATCTATCAACTGTGATCTCCTCAAGGTAATAATTCTCCAGTAACAATTCACTAGAAAAACCTAGGGGCCGAAACAGCAGACGCCATATTTAGTCACATGACTTGCCGTAATGTGAAGTAGCTCCGTGCAAAATTATAGAGACTAGAATATGGCGATAATATCTCGAAAATACTTATCAGAATTGATTGCACTGATAGAACGAAATTTAGAAATAGACTGCCAGCCCTGTGTGACATATAATGGCACAACAAGACAATAATGATGCTAATTATCATTTATCAAACAATATGCGTGTACCTTTCCTTCTTCTTCTGTCCCCTTCTTCCCACCCACACCGTTTTCTAAGGTGTAATGGCAAAACACTGTAACATTGAATTGAAGATTCACAAACAGACCATAAATGCTCGAGTTAGTTCTGCAACGTCCTGTAAAAGGATTCACAACTAACTTTTGGATAGACAGACGATTGCGAATTTTGCAATTAATACAAGCAGCCGTGTTTTCATATTTAATTATTTAAACCGAAAGGTTAGAATGCTGGGCTCTCAAGCTAGAGGCCCAGGTTCAAATCTTCGGTAAGACAAAATAAAATCCTCACCTGCACAGTCGTGGTGACAGCACTAACCTGCGGCCGTAAATCATCAAGCTCAAAGACCCCTCTGCCTACACCGCACAAGTGGTCAAAGGCAGTAATTGGCAGCTTGTGTGTGTGTGTGTGTGTGTGTGTGTGACTTATTTAATACAAACCAAGGTATCACTTACAAAAAAACATTAACGAAAATTAGGAACAATGGAAGCAAGGTGTCTGAGAAAGACTGTAGAAGTGACTAGAAGAGATACAATCAGGAATAAGGTCATACGAGATAAAGTCGGCACATAACAAATTCTAAATTACACACAAAGACAGCAAATCAAATGGTTTGTCCACTTGAAGAGAATGCCTTCTTATGCCAAAAAATACAAGGCATGTACGAAAAGAGTCGAAGGACGTAGAAAAAGAGGTAGACCAAGAACTTAATGGAAAGATAACGTTAGAGAAACTCTACAGCACCACGATGTGTTTATGGTCAAAGCAGGAGGAAGAGCACGAAGCAGTACCTTATATCTCCCTTGTCGTTTGAAGCGTTAAAAGAGGACGTAGAGAAGAAAAAGAATAATAATAATAATAAGAAGAAGAAGAATAAGAAGAAGAGAAGAAGCCGTGCTGATAGACAATACGGGCGGAAATATATTTTTTGTTTTCTAAAATCAGTGTACATAAAAGCTTTTTGCGGAAATCGAAAGTAGCGCGTCAGACCCAGTGTTGCCACTTTGGATCTTTTATATCCAAATTTAGATCTTTTTCATTGCATTCAGATACTGTTTTTGACGTTTAGATCGTAAATATTTTTCTAGAATCTTTTCATCTGGAGTTAGATATTTTATAGATTTTATTTCCTTTCATTGTCAATTTAATAATTACTGTGTAAAATATTCACTACAATAATTTTGTTTTGGTCTGGCACGTACATTGTCACAACTGCCATTACTTGAACTTTGAACTGTCACTGGGATCAACGCACAAATATCTGGCAGCCCCAGTACTGATTAATAAAAACGCGCGTAAATCATACTAACTTTGTTTCAACCGAATCCTTGCTGTGCTGACTTTGCGTTTCTTTTTAATGTGATTAAAAGAAAAATAATTGCTCACCTACTTATGTGGCTTTCACTTTGAAAAAATCTTTCAACATGCCAAAAGTAAAGTATGCGCACAAAATTTGGAAAGAATGGTTGCATGATGACAAAATTAAAAACTGGGGATATGACCAAAGCTTGTTGTAAGTACTGCAAGTGTGAAATTAAAGCGAAAATACAAAACTCAAAGAGTCATGACTATTTCAATTTGAAAAGTGTGATGTAGAAAGTATAGTTTAGGAACTGAAGGACCTTTTATTCAGCAAACAGTTAGGCTTGAAAAATTTGGCTGTAATTGGTACTGATAATGCCTCAGCGATTGAAGTGAGACAATTTAAAGATGCCTCATCAAATAGTCCATCCTGTAAGCTCTTTAAAGTTCCATGTCTGCCATGATACTACCCCACTCAAATGCTGACGTAGAAAGAGTTTTCAGTGCTAGGAATTATATCAAATCTAACCTAAAAAACAGGGTGAAATTTAACCTCTTAAATGCTATCGTGCCATTAAAATTCGGCCTCTTATAGAAATAAGCCTACTGTTCCACTTATAAAGAAATTTGAACAGCTGAAGCATACCAGGGTCATTTTGGATCTGAAGCTTCAACTTCATTATCCAAGCTAAGTATATCACGTGGATCTTGTGAGGCAGACATCAGTGAAGGTGAGGACATGATTATGTAGTGTAAGTCATAACAAAAGCTATGTAATTTTTGTTTTTTTCAATTTTGATGTTTTTTCTAGATCTTTTCCACGCAGATTTAGATCTTTTTAGATATTTTTGACACCGTTTTGGATATTTTTTGTCAAAGAAAAGTGGCAACACTGGTCAGACCAACTGAAGTATTATAAATTCAATATTAGTTGCTTTATCTGTGCTTACTGAATATGGCCGGTAATTTTTGGGCCAGTTCTCATTAGTAAGTAAAATTGTTGTCATAATATTGTATTTTGCTGCTAATAATAATATCTAGAGTTGTTTTTAGGTGCTGAGAAGTCTCGTTCAGTTGTTGAGTTTGTAATTTTTTTTTTTGGGGGGGGGGGGGGGGGGGGGGTTATCTAAGATAACTTCAAATAAGTGTTTGTTTGTGCAGCCTGAAGGCGCAGATCTAAGATTAGTGAGATAGCACACTGCATAATTGTAGACACAAGGCAAATGTCAACCGCAGAAGAAGAATATACAATCCTCAGTTGATGCTTACTTTTTTCTTCTTCTTTTCTTGTCTTGTTCACCTCATGCCTCTTCTTCGACTTCTGCCTTCTTATTTTATTTTTATTTTTCTCCTGCAGTCCTGCCTTCTCTTCTAATCTTCTTCTTATTCTTCTCTAAAATTGTCTTTTTCTTTGTATCCTCAGTCTTCTGCTGCATCTTCTCCTTGCCTTCTTTTTGTGAACTTGTTCTCCACTATATACATATAGTTAGTATATACTGTGTATATCAGCCAGCAATGATGACTCCCCTGTAATATTAAAATATCTGATACTTATTAAAGTTTGTTGCTCTCTATATCAGCTAGTCTTTATTTTACACAATTCAAATACTTTGGATTTTATGATAGATTTTGTATGACATTTCAAATTTCCCAACAACCAAATTCCTTACACAGCTGATTGAAACAGGGATAAACCGATTGAAATATTTTGTTTAAATTTATCCTAACCTGTATTATGGACAGTAGGTTTGGCATATGCATTATCAAACAAAATGTCAAAACTTTTGTCTACTATCTGGCTAAGATTCATCAACAGCAAAGTAGTATGAGCAATACTAGACCTTTTCCCTTATCATTTGGTCTGGAAAAATCATGTAACAATTTTATCACATCTAATTAATTAAAAACAAATCAGAAAGTGACACAAACACCACACCAAATTTAGAAAATGAAAGGACATTGTTTCGCTAATTCTAGTTTTTCAAAACATGTTCATATAAATTCATTTTTCCAGCAAACAAAACAATATTAGAGTGTCTCTATGAAGAGCCATTATAGTGGCATTCAGTCTGAACTTAATGGATTCAAAACCCACTGAAGGGGCGTCCGGTCTGTAAAGAGGTAGTATGGTTGGGGAGCTTGTGTTTCTGAGATACTATGAGAGCTGTACCGGTGGCAGTGTGTAACTACTATCTGGGCCTCAAGCCAGACAGTCCAAAGGTAGAAAATGAACAAAGAGAGACACCCTTGTTATCCAGTTGGAGGGCCAACATCCACTACCTTTGTAAAACCTCATTTCATTGTGAGACAGATATCTAAGTTGAATTTAGGTGGATTTAAATGGAACAAATCAAGAAGATGGCGATCCCCTGTTCCGGGGCCCTATTGTGGGGAAAACAAGAATAGACCCACTGGCTGCCCAAAAGTATGTCGTAAGAACCAACCAATTGGGAGCTTCCTTTGAAGTCGGAGTACATCTGTCTGAGAATTAAGAAACTAACAGTCTGCATGCAAATGAGTCAGACCTGTAAAATGGATGTGCATGCAACACTCTTTTTCTGAATAAATAAACAGGGGGAACCCTTGAGACCGTTAAATATATATATATTAATAAAGTAATGTACAGTGTATTGATCGGCACTCATAGAAAGATAGAAGAACACACTAGACAACATAACAATCGAAAGCTATAGTTACCATGCTGGGAATGGAACCTGTCACCTCCAGACGCTTCGCTGTGGTAACGGGCACTAAGAACATGGTCAACCAGGCACAGGACTAGAGTCCAGAAGTGGACAAAGAGTCAGAACTTTCTGCCAGAGTTTACAGCCTTTGAACGCAAAGAAGAAGTAGAAAAAGAAGATGTCTGAAAGATAACATTCAACTAACCTATGAACACTTTGAGTCACCTCATGGAAAGAGATAGCTAATCACAGAGATGAACAGAGATGGATGATACAGACCTCAAGGGCTTCAAATGATGAGGAAGATGTGTTAAGTTGATATGTTCAGCACATTTTGTTTCTTATGGTGTTGATTATTCATTTTCATTAATTACAACTGTTGATAGAATAATCTTTTGATATTTCAAAATGCTAGCTATTGTAAGAGCTGGTTAAATTTATGTGCTGAAAAGTTAATTCACATTCACATATGTTTAATATTAACTTCTTTTATCAGCCAACAATGGCTTGTAGATAGGCAAGATTTATACAGGGAACGAGCACATGATCTGAAGGTGCTATCAGAGGAGGACTACCAGAAAATCATGATGCTGTTTTCTAATGGTGAGTTGTTTGACATTTGGAATCTTTAACTCTTCTACTATGTTATAGTCACATCTTCTGCTTTTTATTTCTCAAAGGAAAAAGGCCCTCCAACTGGCACCACCACGTCTTCCTTTTTTCAGCTTACTCCATGCCCTTCCCATCCTGTTCGCTTTTAATTCTTTTCTCTGTGTTTTTGTCTCCTTTTTTTCTTTTGCTGGTGGGTTCCACTACAAGATTATTCTAATCCTGGACAATTGTCAGATTTTCTGATGTGTTCTGTCCAATACCAGCATCTTTTCCTCATCTCTTACTTCACTTGAATTTATTTAGTTCTCTCCTAACGCTCTACATTAGGGATTCTGTTTTTTTTTTTTTTAAATTTAATTCTCTCTATTCTGCACAGTCAGCAGTAAATAAATGTTTGTATCGCATTGTTTTAATTGTCCTCCATGTTTATGAATATGTGTTTCCTGACTTTTTGACATTTTGCTTTGGCATGCCAAAGAAGCCAGCTTAGCAGTTGCCACTTCTGCTATGCCTATAGCTTAATTGAAAGCAATCCTTTTTCTACATTTGCCTATTATGGTGTGGTTGACAGCTAGGCTTGGATAATGGCTCTTTTTCTCCTGACATGTCCAATTTCAGCAGATCCTTAATTAATTACCTTTTACAACATGCTTGTTATTGGGCAGTGGTATATTCCTTCTCATCCCCAAAAAGACACCTTAACACACACTAGGAATTTGAAATCAGTGATTTCAGAATTTTTGAGAATGGTTTTTTTGCCCATTCTTTGGGCTCAGTTTTAATTAGGGTCTGCTTTCAATTGCACCAAGTTGAATTGCTTTTATGCCCAAAAAGAATATGTCAATTAATACAGTTCATACATGTCAATTGTGGCAAGAATTATACGTGAGGGCTAACTAAGGACTGTCTGAGATTGGTGCGAAATTATGTAGAAGCTGTTGGGTTGTGGCTTAGCAGACAAATGATAGACAAATAAAATTTGTGATGAAGATGTCTTGAAGGAAATTAATTCACAAAGAGAACTGATTACCTGGATCAGAAGCAGATATTCTTTGAGTTATGTTATCACAACTGATTTCATTGCACATTATGCATTTCCATGTGTGCCGTCCTCAGATGAAGCAGCTGCTCCAAGGTACCTCTACTGATTGTCTCCATGCTGAGCTGGTTATAATGTCTCCTGTCTCAGCCTTGAAAGCGGCATAGACCTTCTTGACCATGCTTTACTCCTATGACATGCATTCCTGCTAGTGTCAGAGATTGATTGTTATCCACTAACCTAGTCTGTACAGTGTTGACTATGTCATGATAAGGAAGTTGCAGGGGTAAAAAGGCAGGGAAGACCAAGATTAAGGATGTTGTACATTTAGCATTATGACGTAAAAGGTCAACAGTGTCAGAAATAATTTTCAGTGCTTGAGACAGAAAACTGCAGATAGACATTGTGACCAATACCACATCGCATGGACTGTAAGATGAAGAAGACTAAATTGTGGTGAAATGGCATTATATATTTGGGTTGACTCTATAAATATTTTTCTTTATAATTATCTGACGCTGCCTATACCAGTTTGTATACTTTTATGTCGCAAATTTGGTTTTTCATATTTAGAAGAAAAACACAGGTCCATCTTATTTTCTCCCAGCCGTTAGTTTTAGAGTTGTGATAATTGTTTGTGTTTTTATATTTGCCAGTAATTCAAACTCTGGGAGAACAGTTGAAATTTCGGCAGCAGGTTATCGCCACCGCCACAATATACTTCAAAAGATTTTATGCAAGGTATAGTATATTAACATTATTGCTGTCCTGTTTATTTTTATTTTTTTTTTAACAGACCCCTATTACGCCAGTGGCACATTGGGCTAGACTCATATTTCTAAAGAGCAGTGGCCACTCATATGCCAATCACCTCTACTTCTCAGAACTTACCTGGTACCCAGTTTAGGCTGAGTGGACCTGGGAGCCATAACAGGTTATAAAAACAAAAATCAGCCTTGATGTATATTTGAGCCTAAGACCTGCGGGCCAGAAGTCATGTGTCTAGCCATTATACTACTGTGACTCAAACATCTGTCTTAGTTTTTTTCTTATTCTTCTGCATTTTATCTAGCACAGTTCCTCAGCCAAGCCACATCAAGCCCTTTGTAAACTTGTTCCTATTTGGTTGAATTTTGCAGCCAGTTTGTTTCTATGGCATGAGGTCGCCACTGTGTTTGTGATTACACTTTGTGAAGTGAGTTTTCACAAAGGGAAATTCTGCTTGATTTGTTCTCAGTATCTGTCTTTCTGCATGAATTTTTAGACCTAATTTTTGTGACCTGGCATAAAGTGTGATCTGTAGAGAAAGGCATCCCTTTCACACTCAGGTTGCTATTGTAATATTTCTTATTCTTCTTTGCATTCGGTTTCATATGCTCAGATCAGACCATCAGATGGGTTGCCTCTATGAACTTGCATGTCTGAAGCAGGTCCTTCATGGTTCCCCCATAGCTTGCTCTTTACTGTTTGCTCTTGAGGCCAGGTTTCTTTTCGAAGTTGTAGGTAGAGGGGGCAGGTCTGCAGAATGTGCTCAGGCATTTGTGATCCTGTCTGACAGGCACACTGTGGGGACAGTACCGGTTTTTTTTTTTTGAATGCATGTGGTAGTTGAGCTTGCAATGTCCTCTTTGTAGATGGAAAATTGTTGTCTGTTGAGTTTGCTGGTGAGGTCTTGTGGATGTTTACTGTTGGTTTGTTCTCTCCACAATTCCTTGTATTTTCCCTTGATGAGTGTTTTGATTTCTGGTAATGACAGTAAAGGGGTGTGTTTTATCTCCTTTGTTCCATTTTTTGCAAGTCTGTCTGCTAACTCATTTCCTGGTATGCCTCAATGAGCTGGGATTCTCATTAGAATGATTTGATTGTTTTCTGAGAGTCTGTTTAGCTGGCAGGTCAGTTCTCTGTCCATGTTGTCTCGTGGATCCCTTTAAGTCACCTGGAGAACTGACATACAGTAAAAAAAAGGAAAATAATTTTGCTGTTTTTAATTTGTTTTCCTCAAGCACTTTGGTTGCATCAGTAATTGCTTGCTGCTCTGCTCTGAAGTTTGTTGAGAGTCTTCGAAGGCGCCTAATGTTTCTACTGTGGTCCCATCTTGCAGCATGATGACTGCTCCCTTCAGTGATCCATTGGTGTGTACCTATGTCCATTCAGGTTTTGGGTAAGAGTTGTAGACATGTTCAAGGGTCTTTGCGTGTAGTACTAGGTCACATTTTTCATCCTTTCTGTCTATGTCTGGGATTGTTGTTGTGACTGTATAGTTAGGCTGTAGGTCTATGCTGTAGGTCTATGCTGTATGCCTGGATAATTTCCCATGGTGAAGGGTCTTTAAAAAGGATGTCACTGTTTTTTTTTTTTTTTTTTTTTTGCATAGTACATTTTGATAAATTTTGGAAGCTTTGTCTTTTCAGTCGGTTTTTAGTTAAATTGTTTGCTATTCGCTGCATAGTATTTGTTTATTATCATATACATTTATCTTCCTGATCTGTTAGCGTGATGTTTTCACCATTTTTGTCACATTTTTAGTCTTCCTCGTTTTATTTTCAGAAATTCACTAAAATGCATTGATCCCTGGTTAATGGCTCCTACTTGTGCATTTTTAGCCTCTAAAGTTGAGGTAAGTTATGGTGAATATAGTATGTATGGAAAGATGTTACTTAGAGTCATGATCTGGGCATAGGCCTAAATATTCAAACTTAGATATCTGCGTGAAATGAGGTTTTGAGGTTTTACAAAGGTAGGGGATGTTGACCCTCCATCTGGATAACCAGGATGTCTCTCTTTGTTCATTTTCTACCTTTGGCTTGCATGGCTTGAGGCCCAGATGGTAGTTACATACTACCATCAGTACAGCTCTCAGAGTATCTGAGAAACACAAGCTCCCCAACCACATTTGGTATAGTTCTTACAGAATCTGCAACCTGAAGGTGACTTAGGCAGCAATGTGGGCAAAGATTGGTAAAAGTAAACAAGGTCCCTTTTCCATGGCTTTATTGGGTATATAGGGCTAGATCTATATTTGTATAGACCATTCGGAATTGGTTGTTGATGTTTTCAGCATCACACCGGCTGCCTTTACTTCTCAGGACTACACCAGGTACCCACTCAAGGCTGGATCGACCTGGGAGTCAAGGTCATTTTTGAAGAAAGCTCTGTTCTGTCAGGATCCGAACCCACGACCTTTGAATCAGCAGGCGAGTGCCTAGCCACTACACCCCATTTAATTCCGGCTTGTTTTGAGCTGAAATGTAATTATTTGCTTCTTTCTGGGTAATTTTACATGTTTTGAGTCTTAACATAATTAATTGTTGCTTCTCTCCAGCTTCTCCTAACTTGTTGTTTTGACTTTGCAAGTCACTAGTGTTAATTTTTTTTAATACTGATTGAGACAAACATGTGATCTGTTTGCATCTCACGTGTGCCTTTTTTCTTGTATTTCAGGAGTATGGTGTTATATCCAACAGTCGCCTCATTACAACATGTCAGAACATAGGTATTTTTTATGTACGTTTTTATGAGACAGTATAGTTAATATATGAGTAACGGCTTGCCGATTGTTTAAGAGCACACTTTGTGCAGGTTTGATGTAAGGCATCAGTATGGTGTTGTAAATTCAGTTCTTGGTGGTGTATTAAACACTGATCATCTGCAAAAAAAGAAGTTCATTGATTTCTTCAGTGTCTCTATTAGTTGCGTCCTGTGTAATTCTGTCCATGTCAGTAATAAATAGCAAAGGTGATGAAGACACATCCTTGTCTGATGGGGATGTCTTATAGTGAAAGTAAACTAAAGGACCCTTTTCCACGCCTTTCAGGTGCAGTGGGTATAAAGGGCTAGACCTATATTTTATAGACCAAACGGCACTTGGTGGGTGATGTGGTCAGCATTATGCTGGCCGCCTTTACTTCCCAGGACTGTGCCTGGTACCCACTCAAGGCATGGTTGACCTGTCAGAAACTGTCTCTCACCATATTTTCAGCCTCATGCATTTCCCTACCCAAGGTGTCATATTCTGTGCCCATCTTCATGCTGGTCAGTCCCTGCCCCTATTTCCTGGCGCCATGCCTTCTGCTACTATTCTTTCCAATCCACGGTGACACTTTATATGGCCAAAATATTTCAGGTTCTGAGACAATATAGTGTTTACTAGCCAATCTTCCTTGACATGCCAATCTTCCTTGATGTTCAGATCTTTTAGGATGTCAGTATTTCTTTTCTTCTACTGAACATATAAATGTCTAGAAAAACTGCAACTGGCCAAAAAAATGCTGGGGGTTGGATTACTGAGTCCTGTAAAAGATATGCAACTAACTTTCTTAGGCTGCAAACTGACTTGGATGAATCATTCTTCCCCAGTGAAAAACAAATTTGGTCATGCATTCAATGGGGAGTACCCTTACAGAATACAGCATGTTTTTGAGGCTGAATTCTACCTCCTGGAGATGATGGTAAGTTGCTTATTTCCTAAGTCTTCGCATCAGATCATCTCATTGTTTCATGTTTGTTTTGCCCTGTATATACATGGTCTATACAAGCTAGTACTGTTCCGACTAACATGTCATAAGTCCAACTGGTCGTAAGTTGAGTTTATATTTTTCAACCCAATTTTCATTCAGATGGGTTATAGAAATTGTATGTAAAGCAAAAATGCAGTCTATGTACATATCATTATTGTAAATAATGTGAAATAATATATACTCAGTTCCAGGAACTTTTTTACCCTTCCGGTATAATCTTTGTTTATTTACTATTTAAAACTTTTTTTTTTTGGGTCGTAAGTCGCATAGATTATAAGTCGAGAAGAAGATGTTAAAAAAGCTGTCTTTACTGCCTGTAATTAATACTTTTACGGCATTAGTGGTCAAGGAGGTTGTGAGACTGAGCATTTAAGGCAGCAGTTCTCAACCTGTAGGTTGCGACCCTTTTGGGGGTCGAATGGCCCTTTCATAGGGGTCACCTAAGATCTTTGGAAAACACATATTTACTGAGGTTATGAAGTAGCAACGAAAATAATTGTATTGTTGTGGGTTGTTACAGTATGAAGAACTGTATCAAAGGGTCATGGCATTAGGAATGTTGAGAACCACTTCTTTAAGGTAACATACTTTGCCGTTGCTGCAAACTGTACAAGTTAGAATTTTTGTGCTCTTAAAAAAAACGCATAGTTATCAAGTGGCACATTTTTATTAGTTGACAGGAAAGCCCATGCGCCTAAAAGCTATTGATGACCCAGATGCCGAACAACTCAGTTGATTGGCTGAACCCTAAGGTGGTCTTATTGGGCAATTTAAACGATTTCACTCATTAAATTATGCAGATTTTTGCATGTCAGAATCTGTTCCTCTCAGTAGCTATGTGTTTTTTTTTTAAAGTTTTTTTTTTTTTAATTTTTAGTAGATTTTTGCCACCAATGGAAAAATGTCCTTCCTTTACCAAAGATTTAAACCAGGTATCCCGTGTGAGCACCCTGTGCCATACACCCAACAAGCTGCTCCTCAGGCCCTACTTGTGTTGTATAGATCATAGGCCCCCTGCTGGTTTCTTCTGCTTAACAATATCTGTTGAGTTTAGTTGGAAGTCACAAGTTTGCTTCCCACTATGGTAGGTATAGCTTTTTAGTATTTTCTCTTGTGTCTACTTCTTTGCTCTGTGTCTGTGAGTACCAGTCAATACATGACAATATATTTATCATGCCGTTAAAGCAACCTGGGAGCCACCATGGTGTATTGGCCAGACGCTCATCTGCGGATTTGAAGGTCATGGGTTATAATCCGCTTGGTGTCGGATTCTTTTCAAATATGAGCTTAGCTCCCAGGTTGACCCAGCCTCAAGTGGGTAGCAGGGAAAGTGCTTATTGTCTATTAAAATAGGAATTTAGCCCCATTTGCCCAATGTACCACTAATGGAACCTTTATTAGGGCCACTCTCTTACCAGCATAGGACTGCATGTTAAATCTCGCTGGTGCAGTTGTCAGGAGTGTCAAAACTTTAACTTCTTTAGAGGTTCAGCGGGGTATCTGGGATCTGTCTAGTTGGTCTGCCATCCGGATTGAGATTCTTAGATCTCAGGATGGTATTCTTCTTCTTCTTCTTTTGTGGTCTCACTGATACCAGGTGTCAGGCCCAGTGTCTTGGTTTTCTGTATTTGTCATGCACTTCTCTGATGGCTTGAGTGATGGATTTGTTAATCTTTTTTTTTTTTCGGTTTCGGCTACACAACTTATGCATCACCTTGAAACAAGTAGCAACCCAGAGGGGACAAACTGATCATTCAATTGATCATGCAATGAGCATCTTGTCTGTATGAGATCATAGAAGACCTGTTATAGAAAATGACCAACATTGCCAACAGTTTGATTCTTAATTTTATAATGTTAAAGTTGTCCAGCTTCCCAGATAACATTATTTGACGTGCATGTTGCAATGTCCTCATTCAGGATTGCTGTTTGATCATGTACCACCCATACAGGCCGCTGACTAAATTTTGTGCTGACTTGAATGCTGAGGCTGACTTACTTCCTATTGCCTGGTTAGTTATTGTGTGTATTGTGTAACCTCTTTGCATTTCGTACCTACCAGTTTGTGAAGCTGTGTCCCCAATTGATGATATGTTATTCTGACTGTTTGGTTCTGTTGAGAAACTCAATCATTTTTTGTTTCTTCTGAGGAATGATATTAAACAGAATCATTTGAGGGAAGATTAAGAGGTGCCACTGACAAACATATACAAAAACCAGTACCTCAGGAGAATGATGCATTTCCGAGTTTCTGGCAGCTCTGGCTTGGGGTCACTGGAGACTGAGAGGGGGGGGGGGGGGGGGGGGGACAAGATGAGTAGTACCAAATTACAGCAGGTACCATTGGTATGGAAACTCTTCACTGGCAGTTCAGGAGGTGGGGGCGAGGTTAATATAGGCTTGTAATGAATGCTATGATGTTGAATCTTTACCTAGACGAGCCCAGAAACATCTATGAACAGATAGGCTTCTAACGAAACAGATCCAGAACTGCTCAGCAAGCCACCTTATACTTAATAATAATGCTGAAAAATATGATTCTACTACTCAGAGAATTAGAGTGAAGTATAATCGAACTAGTTATTAGGGTACCAGCTTTAAAGTTTAGAACAAGTTTAAAAACCTAAGGACAGGCTGACATGGAATTTGATGTTTCCTGGACACACATATATGAATCTCAGGAATGGGTACTCTCTCGTTTTTTAAAATTCTCTGCAATACTGCACTTTACAAATTGGACCGGAGATGTTTTATTTGTGAACTGTGGAAAGGCCTTTGGATGTCTTTGAAATGGAATCATTTTTTGGAAACTGATTCGTCACTATGGGATCTCACAGAAAGTCACTGTTTTTATAAATGAGGACATGAAATGCTATGTTTTTCCTGGGGGTAAATGGCTACATGAAAAATGAGAACAGGAATATGCTAAAGGGATGTTTTTTTTTAAATCTGAATATTAAGTGGACAGCATCATTAAAAAGCCTCAGTCAAATACTGTCCATTTCTTTAGCATTCTGAGCCTTTGGGGTTCTTTGCAGCAGATATTTACAACCATTCAACTCCCTTTTGTGCATGGGGCTCTGATTTTGGTCACAGGTGTGAGGGAAAGTTAAGGCTGTTGAGATGTGTATAAGGAGATACTCCCTACCTCATCTTGGGCGCCAGCTTGCTCTGTACTGGTTTTATGGATCCTCATGTAAGACTCCTGCCACACGTCCCCGGAATGTGCTAAGGATAATGGCTCATATAGGTCTAAGCAGAGCTGGCAGGGGATCTCAGAGTTGGTGGCTCCCAGAGTTGCAATGCCCGGAAAACCTCTGGCTCTCATCAGCCCACCCCCCAGTGCATGGGTGATAACATCTGTCACGACTCATTTGGAACATGAGTAAAGTATTTCACAGCATAGTCTTGTCTCTGTACAATCTTTGCCAACCCTCAATGTCATCGTCGCGGCTGCCGCGTTGAGGTACACAATGACAGTCTACCATTGTCAGTCTCAGCTGATTAGGCTCAGATATACATTTGCATAACAACAAATTCTCAAATCCCCCGACCGTGGAAAAGCCTACTGGTTAACAGAAAAGTTCACATGTCTGTTACCATTGGCCCCACTCGCCTGAGTATCAGGACCGAAAAGGAAAATCTGTGCCTGATGCATGCTTTCTATACTGTCATACTAAGTATCCAGATGAAACAATGCTGAAGAAGAATGTACCTATTTGAGTGGTTATCAGAGTCCCTGACCTGCAGACTGCTTCCTGTTGACCTTTCAGGGGGTGCAGTCCATGATGAGTTGGAACTTCACATACGGATGTGAGGTTAAACAGTCATGTGCAGGACCTGGTGGTTCCTTGGGTGAGCCAAGGAACAGAGGGTCATGTGTTGGCTCTGCATTTTCAGAAGCCTTTTTGGACGGTGAACAATGTCCATGATCTGACTCTGCCTTCCCTTGAAGGCCGACCAGTCTTCATGTGGTTGCCCCAGACAGATTCTCCAGGGGCAATACCTGTAGATAAAGGAGATCAAGAGAACACCACACACAAAAATATTACACTGTGTCCCACATAACTTTCCAGGAAGTTAACTTGATCAACAATTGCTGGATGAATTCGGATATGCCAGCTGAAGAGTGCAAATATCGCAGCTTTTCTGTAAACAGGCACAACACAATTATGTCACACAGACAAAAGAAATTCGATTCAGTTGGATATGTCAACTGAATGGCGCAAATATCACAGCTTTGTTGTAAACAGGCACAGCCCAATTACATCACTCGGACAAATGAAAACAAAAACTCTCTTATGAACACAGTTTTTGCCTTATGTCATATGCCATTCACTCCAGATGTCACAGCATAAAGTAAATTGGAACTTTAAATTTATGTTTTAATATGTATATTCTTGTCAGTATCTTAGGTATTTTTAATAATGTACTGTGGAGGATAGGCAACTAACATATATATTTTTTATTACAGGAGAATGGTTAATGATTGTCTGCGAACGGATGCACCATTGTTGTATCCACCTTACCTTATAGCCCTCTGTAAGTCTACCACATATGTATGTCATTTTTTTGTAACATATTTTTACTTACTTATTGGATATCGGACAATAAAATATTTGTCAGCTTTCGAGGACAGATAGAAACTTAAAGATGTTGTACAGATGAATGTTGAATAAAGAATCTTGTATGGATGAATGTTGAATTAAGAATCTACATCACAGCACTCGGGACGCTCCGTCCCCATCCTCAGCAGCAAGCAAAGAGTTTCAATTCCGATGACACCAGTAACTATATGATTGTACATACATCTCGCCTTTTTCTTGAGAGTCGGCCAGATCCCTTAGTAATTCCCAGTAATTCCCCACAGTGCCATTCTCCCAAAGGGTCCTCACGACACCTAGCTTGTCATACATCAATTTACCACCATGTAGTGCAAAACCGGCCAGTCTATCTGCCTACACGGGCATCACCCAGAGAAAATACCCAAAGGACCCAGGAAATCTGAAGCAATGTTTGCCACTCTGCACAGAGCACGCCTGTCTCCACATTTCTGAACATGCTCAATGAGTTAGTTACAGTTACGACATGTGTGTACAGCTTATTCTCAAGCAAGCAGAACGCAGGCTTTGTTGCACTAAGCGACACTAAGTTGTGTTGATGAGTTTCCTCTTTCAGAAACTGCAGGCTATGTCTTAAGCAATCCATATGACTCGCTAGCCATTAGCAAATGTTTCAATGTGTGTGTTCTCCCCATGCACCTGCCTGCTGACACAGTGGGCTGGTTCAACCACCAGAAGTGGCAGGAATTGTTCCTACCACTACATCTCTGGTGTTGATGTGACCTAAATAAAAATGGGTGCAGAAAATATTTGTATAGCTTTATTATTATTTATACTGGGATTTTTTATTGTATAGCTTTATTTATACTGGGATTTTTTTTTCTGGTGGTACATAATACCAGCACCTTCTTGGGTATCATAAGTCTTAGAGCTACTGTAATAGACACTTCTTGGTAAGTAACAGCACCTTTTTAAATGCACTTTCTGGCACTTTCCAGCTCTTTTTTTTTTTTTAAATAAGAAAAGGCCTTGGCATAATATTTTTTTTCTGTAGCTTTATAACGTTTGTTGTCTTGTGTTTGCCTTATTATTTTTGCTTTTTACTCCGGCTTTTTAAATATATTTTGTTGTTGTTGGCAATAACAAGTTAATCTGTATATTCATTTTTTGATTTGTTTTAGCAGAGTTCTGTTGTGGACATTTTTGTTATTTCACTGCAGAACTGAAAGTAAAATAAGTGTATTTACCTACTGACAACCTGTCATATTATGAGAAACGAAAAAATTAATTGTGTTATTATAAGTGGTTCATAATGCCGGGTTCTATCCCAGCTGCAGGTGATTTGGGAGCAGACAACCTTGTGATGGTTTCGACAGTGGTATTGAGAGGTGACCGTTTAGCAGCAGTGGCAAACTACTGTTAGTAAATTTCCCTAGGAAAACCTAAACAGCCACAAAACGGTGGGGCTGGTTCTGCAACATCTTGTAGAGGACACCCAACTAACTTAACTTATTACAACTGGACACATTTTAGAAAGATGTTAAAGAAGTTCCTTGATAGCCTTTTGTCTTTGGACAGAAAGGTCTCATTAAATGAATCGACTACTCGATGTTTGATATGGCAACATGTAGAGAGGCGATATTGCCCATGCCAGTTTGTTAAGGAAGATGTACATATGTCTTTTGGCAGCCTGCTTGCATCTGGCCAGTATTGTCAAGCAGAAGGACATCAAGACTTGGTGTGCTGAGCTGGCGGTGGATATGGATAAGGTTAGTATCTCTTAGTGTCAAATTAGCCTTTTATCTTTTCTTCTTTTTAATAATAAGGATGCAAACAAAAATTATGAACCTCAAATGGGATGAATTCAAGATCATCATCATCATGTAGCAGGTCCTTTGCAGAACGTTGTTCTCATCATGGTCTGCCTGAAAGAAACTCGGTCTCTCCCGCCTCATGTACTTTCATACTCAAGGGTCACTTCATGTGCCCATCTTCGTGTTGGTTGACCCCTGCCCCTCCTTCCTGGTACCATGCCTTCTGCTATTATTTTTTCTAATCCATTGTGGCGTTTGATATGACCAAAATATTTCAGCTTTCGAGACAGAATGCTGTTTATTAGCCAATCTTCCTTGATGTTCAGAATGAACATGAGAATTCAAGATATGTGAAGAAATAAGAGAAATATCTGGGCAACCACTAGTATCAATAGTTATAAGACATAGAGAAATGTCTGGGGAACCACTAGTATCAGTAGTTATAAGACATAGAGAAATGTCTAGGCAACCACTAGTATCAGTAGTTATAAGACATAGAGAAATGTCTGGGCAACCACTAGTATCAGTAGTTATAAGACATAGAGAAATGTCTGGGCAACCACTAGTATCAGTAGTTATAAGACATAGAGAAATGTCTGGGCAACCACTAGTATCAGTAGTTATAAGATTGAAAAGATGGCGCAATTTCGGACACATTCTGAGTAGAGACAAACACCGAATCACCAAACAGTCACTGAAATGGGAAATTATGGGATTGAGGTAACAAGAATGTCCAAGAAAAACCCTAAGGCGGACATTGATGAGGGAAACCAAAGGTACTTGACTGGATTACATCCGTAATATGGAAGTGATTACACAGGATAGCAGGATAGAAGAGAATAGAGAAATAGACTGCGAGCCCTATATGACATATAATGAAATAATAGGAAAGTGAATGAAACAAAATATACAGTTTATTAGAAGTAAAGTAAAAAAAAAAAGGACCCTTTTCCACACCTTTAGGCATATAGGGCTAGACCTGTATTTTATAGACCAATCGGCACAAGATGGGTGATGTGGTTAGCATCACGCCGACCGCCTTTACTTCCCGGGTTGTACCATTTAATGCCTGGCATATGTTGTTGTATCAGGGTACATACTGTATAATTTACATAACATCCTTTCAGATGAAATACACAGATCGTACATACGCACACACTTGCACACATACACATGCACACACATGCACACATACACCCACACATGCACACACAAGCAGAGTTGTATTTGCTGTAGCTAAGAAAATTAATTTAGCTGTTTTCTGGGGCTCTGCTCAGAAGAACAAGGAGTAGGACTGCAGTGCCACTAGCAAGCATGTTGTCGGAGGGGTGTTTCCTGAATACTTTTTTGTCTTACACGCAAGAAAAATTCAATTTAAATAACTGTCAACTTCTTTCTTGTTGATAACAACAAATTATTTCACAGGTCATGGAAATAACACGAATGATGGTTAATCTGTACGACCTGTGGAAGACGTATGACGAGAAGAAAGACATCCAGGCAATACTAGCTAGAATGCCAAAACCAAGCCCTTCCAGGTAATATTATAATAGTATATAAAAATGTGCTTGATTTGTTCGCCTGTTGCACTTCTGTGATTTTATTATTCCATGTTTTGTTTAATGCTATACCATATTTTTTTCTTGTCTGTGTTGTGGTAATTGTGCTTGTTGATCAATTAAAAATCATAGTGATTTTTGTTAGATGCTTTTACTAACTGTACTGATTGTGGCTTTTAAGTTATGATTTGGGTTATCTTCACGGCACTCTGGACACATCCATAGGTGCTCAGATTTCCCCTTCAATACATACATCAGCAACCCGTGGCTGATGGTCGATTGAGGCTTTTGAGAGATGCTTTCAGTATCTGTATTGAATGTGGCTTTTCATATTTGCTTTCAATATCTGTATTGAATGTGGCCTTTGAGAGATGCTTTCAATATCTGTATTGAAAGTGGCTTTCGGTTATGTTTTTTGCCTTTTAGGAATAAATTAGTTGGAAATTAAACCCCAAAAATCTGCTGTGGGTCTGATTTGTATTGAAACATCTGAATTATATTGATGGGACTATGCTAAAGTCAAGTGACCTTATTGCTCATTTCACAATTATTTAATTTCTTTTATTTTAGGGCTCGTATTTTTTGCCAAAGGGACACATGGGAATTCCTACTCCAATTAGATCAAAATGACGTATTACTTTTCATGCAGCTTCAGTTTTCATTTGCCGTAATGTGATTTTTCAGAGGTCTCAATAGGCAAATGGAATTTTATTGAAACAAGGAGTTGGCACTCAGGTGACCTTGACCTAGGGCCAACAATATGGCTGTTGTATTTATGGTGTGTCTGTAGTTAGTTATTCCCATAGTCTTATTTATGTGAGTGATTTGTTTTATTCCAGGGTGGTCTAATTTATATGAGTGGTGTTATTTAGCAGTCTTTTTTTTTTGGTAAATGATTTATTCCGACAGTTGATCTTCATGAGTGCTTACTTTTAAGTCTGATTTATATTCCAGTTGTCAGATTTATGTGAGTGACTTATTCTTTTTTGTCTAATTTTCTCAAGTGATTTATTCCAGATGTCTAAATGATGTGAGTTAATTATTCTGTTTTTATAATTTATGTGAATCTAATTTATGTGGACCTATTCCAGTTGTCTGATTTATGTTATTTATTATTATTTTTATTGTGTGTGCATGTTTCTGGAATGTTTGTTTACTAGTTTTTAAATGGGACAGTGAGGGGCATTTCATGTGATTTTTTTTTTTTTTTACTGTCACAAAACAGAGCACTTTTGGGACAAACTATTTTTAGTGAATTTGAAACCTCAATTACTAACTGCAGCGAATTAGTGTCGTTTATGCAGTTCATTTATTCTAATGGTGCAGTGCTGGGTTTACTTATGCTAGTGGAGTTATTTATATACTATGTTGGTATTAGAAATACCAGGAAAGGTTATAATCATCACCATGCAGATCCCGTAGGTGATGAAATTGTTTCTAGTCTATCAAAAGAGATGAAGACCACACACCATCTAGGGAGGTTAAATGACCATGAGTGTGAGGCTGATTTCGGATTCTGACATGAGCCAGACTTTTTTAGGTAGTGCAGACAGTAGTTAGTAGAGAGGCTTTCCCCTTGGGTCTTTCTTAACTTTCTTGCTTGTCTCCATTGCACTTGTGGCCTCCTGTAGCCAGTGCATTATTTGCTGTCTTGCAGGTAATTGCACCAAGGTGACAAGCCTGGTTCAGTCTTTGGTAGCAATTTCCCATGATTTTATGTTGAGTTTGACGGCAGTTTTAAGGGTGTCCTTGTGCAGTTTTTTTCTGGCTAAGAATTTATTGCTGTGCCGTAGTTCACTTTAAAAAAAAAAATTCTCTTTGGAAGCCGGTGGTCTAGTATATAGGATAGATGACTAGTCCCAGAGATCTGATATTGGGTAATGTACTGTGATGCTCAGTTTTGAAACTTATAGTTGATGTTTCCATCATGATACCCCTACAGTTCATGTTGTGTTATATATTGATTTGATTTTTGTTTTTACATTAGTTTTATTATTTGTTGTTTTTGTTTTTCCACTAGTTTTAGTGTTTGTTGTTTTTGTTTCTCCACTAGTTTTATTGTTTGTTGTGCTTCTCCTTGCACTACATCAGACCTGTGCTGGATAAAGATAACTTCTTCATCCATTCATAGTATTTCCTCTTCTACCCCTGGAGGTTGAGAGGGGTACCTTATGGTCTGGTTTCTGTTTCTATAATTACACACACTTGCTGTCTTGATTTGCAGAACCATGGCCAATGAGACGCCCCTTGTAGGATTGAACCCCGGACCTCTCCGCTAATAGGTGGGTGTGCAATGCTCCACCGCGGAGAACCCCCCCACCCCAATGAAAATACTCCTGGCATAACCAGGAGGTCAGGTTAAGGTAAGTCTAAGTGCATGATCTCCAGTGTCCAAGACTGGAGCTTCTCTAGAGAACCGAACCTCAGTGGCCTGCAGTTGATAGCAGGCACACTTATTGCTTGACCTCTGCAGTGCTTTTCAGGCTGCTTGGTTTAATCTTTTACCGAGGGTTCTTTCAAATAGCTTATCCTACCAATGGCAGCAAAGAGCAGATAAATTCACACTGTTTAATGTTTACACTCAGCTTGCCATTCAGTATAGGAAAGCTTGGTTTCTCTGTTGTGCTAGATGTATTCTTTGGCTGTCCAAAATGCTTACTGTTGTAGAATATTTAATAGGAATGAGAGCACAGGTCACCTTGTACTTCCCATCCTTTTTAGGGTGAAATTTTTCGTTATTTGAAGCCCTACTCTGGCTCTTGCCAGGGGCCGCAATATAGCCCGGCCATAAATATGGTTTAATTTCTGAACGCGGTTTCTGGGACCTCTGCATGGTGATCCTCATCCGCATGGTGGCACTTTGTGTCATCGGGTGTTTATCGCTTGTGTGATGTCCTGGTGGTGTAGAAAGTCAGTCAGTCAGACAGGTCACCAATAAGATGATGCAAAAATCCCACATGATAGCAGAGAACACATAGCATCCTGAGACTCCACAGAAAATAACAAGCTAATATAACTGAGACTCCACAGAAAATAACAAGCTAAACTAACTGAGACTCCACAGAAAATAACAAGCTAAAATAACTGAGACTCCACAGAAAATAACAAGCTAAAATAACTGAGACTCCACAGAAAATAACAAGCTAAAATAACCATTATTCAATAGATTTAAAAAAGGAGATACTGGTGAATGTAAATGTAAGTAAAAGTAAAGTAAAGATCCCTTTTCACGCCTTTCGGCGCATTGGGCATATGGGCAGAGCGTCCCATATTTTTACAGACCATCAGCACTCTGTGGGTAGTGTGGTCAGCATTACGCCGGCTGTCTTTACTTTCCCAGGACAGCCCATCCTGGTACCCATTTTAGGCTGGGTCGACCTGCGACGTCCCATACCACGATAAAAATCCACACAGCCTGCAGTGGGTTTCAATCGCGGCATGCTGGCTTACGAGTCGGACTCGCAACGCCTTGGCCACGGACGCTGCCGAATGTAAATGTAGATTTGGTAAAATGATGGATAAACATTTGGGGCAAGAGTATCCAACACAGGCAACAACAAAAAAAAATTCTGCTGCACTTGGTTAAACGCTGACATGGCAGTATGGTTTGTCCTTACAGACCACAAGGGAAAAAAATAATACTTTTGTATATTCTCCATGGTTGGCTTTTCAGCTGAGCCCAAGGTGCTTGTGCTGAGAATTGCAGATTTGAATCTGGCGAGTAGACTGTTGCCACAGAACTGGTGGTACTGCATGTGCTGGTTTGTTGAAAAACTGCAGCTTCCATCAGTTTTGAACTGCAGTTTTAGTGTATTGACGCTTCTCGCAGCTACCTTATGTGTTTAATCCATTTGTAGGCTGTTGGCTGGAATTGCTGTTGGTGCTTTATTAATATCCTACCCCAAACAGGGGAAATCCACAGGTCACGGGACAGTCTCTTATTTCAGGGGGTGGTAGATAGGCTGCATGCAGTCCTGGGACCTAGGCTGCACTCTCTCGTGGGACATATTTGGGTTGGAGTTAGGGCCAGTTCTAGATGTTTTGGGGTCATTAAAAGCATCAGAAAGCCGAGAAACCAAGTCTTACCATTCTCTAAAATGTAGGACTGTCCTGTGACATCATCTGGGGCAAGATATTAAAAAAGAACCCCGCTGTCCATTTCAGTTTTTTTTTGCGGCAGAAATTGCTAGGTATTCTTTGTAATTTTCTCTGGCACAGGTACAGAGCAATGGTAGGATTGCCTATTTGCCATGAAGCTGGAACTGCGACCAACATCTCTTCACTAATAGGACAGTCTTCTTCTCCTTCTGCCTTTCACCTCCCAGTAGAGCAAGAAATTTGTAGATTTAGTTAGTTAATTAGACGAAGTTTCAACTTTGTAGATTTAGTAAGTCTGTCATGATTCCAACAACATTATTTACAGGTCATTCCATAACTTCTTCGTTCATATGCTAGTGGAAATCACATTAAGTGTTTTAACTGTCCATTTGGAAAACTATGGAAAAAACATGTCAGTCCCAAAAAAAAATCTTTTCAGTCCCAGTGAAATCTTGAAGCTTACACATGCAAAATAAAAATTAATCAGTCAGCTATCAGATATGCCAACAATAATGGTCCCACACCAGAATTGCAGCTCACTGTCAGCACAGTCAGTCAGTCCCGAAAGCCAGCATTGCACCTGCAAAATTACACACCATTCTGAATCTAACTGACTACCCAGTATTTGAGTGCAGTCAATGACACACTTCAGGCAGAGCAGAAAAATACATTCCGCATTCAAATCGGCAGCTAACGATGTTGCGTCAAACACTTAAATCAGTAGCTGGGCATTGTAACCTTTGGAATGGAAAATTTGCAGGAAAATCTAGCCAGAACAAAATAATGTTTAGAGTGTCAGCTGGCTGTCGGACATTTTGGCCATAGATTTGTTCATGATTAGTTTGTTTTTGCAAAGTTTTCTGCAGGATAAAGTAGCCATCCCTCCTTAGTCAGTTCTTATGACATGCATGGTAGGTAACAGTGTTAACTTTGTTTTTTAATGGGTTCCAGCGATTTTCATTCAAATTAGGAAACTAGTAAAAAAAAAACTGAACCAGGAAGCAGACTGCATCTACAAGTTGCCTCACCATGTTAAAGTATCTGCTTGTATTTTTCTGTTGGATTGAAGAAACAGGTTGATAAAGTCTAAGAAAGCAGTTTCTACTGGGATAGGCCCCTGTAAGTGTAGCCCAAGATGAGCAGCCAGCTTAATTTTTATATAAAAGCAAGATGTGTTGATTCTTTGGGAGAGCCCAGAACCACAGTGATTGCATCAGTTCTGATTTATCAAAGGCCACCTCCGTCAAGGGTGAGAAAATGTCCCTTGCCTGTATCATCTGTTGACGAGTGAATGTCAAGCATAAAAGTGTTACAAGGGAGAAGCTAGAAAAAGCACTGTACTGTAAAAAAACACTGTAAGACTGATGCAAATAGATTCGTCTCATGCTGTCTGTGGATTATCAGACAAACCAGAGGTGGATGTTGTAACCTCTGATCTAGTCTGCCCCGATCCAGTGATCTTTACCAGCCTTTCAGTTTGTTACCCGCCAGATGTTATGTCATCACTGTCGACACGACTGCACATTGGGACTTCTCAAGCCTGCTCACTCCTCTGACGCAGCAGCCATCCCAAGGAACTTGTACTGATTGTTCCCATAAAAAGTTGGTTATGTCTCCTATCTTGACTTCAAAGATGGGACAGGCTTGTTTCAGCAGGATTCACTCCAAGATCATGTAATCGTGTTAACATCAGAGATTTGCCATTATCTGCCTGCCCTAGACTATATAGCGTTGATGATATCAGCAATGTCCATGCAGAGAACACACCTGCAAGCACCAAATGCAATTACGTTAAGCCATTACTAATTTGAGCTGTAAATGTGATACTTATCTACTTTCCTCTCCTATCTTTCCAGACCACCATCTGAAGCACCAAACCTGCAGGACTCTCAGCAGCAACAACAGCAGCAGCAACAGCTCTTATCTTCAGTGCCTTAGTGTGCACTGGGATTTTATTTATATGTTCATTTGTTTTTTTTTTTTTCATTTGTTTATGTCAGACATGTATGTGATGCAAGTAATTGTATTTGTGTATGTTTGTATGTATGCATTTGTGCATGCTTACTTGCCTTTTTTTTTTTTTTTTATAAACAAAAAATTGTCAGTTGTTTCCTGTCTTCCAAGTAAAAGTTGGGTGCAATTGATTTACATTCTTTTTCTTTTGTTTTAGTCGTACACTTCTTTCACTCTACTGCTCATCTTTCTCTTGATGTTATTCTCCAGCTTGTGTTCATGTCTACCTCTTTCTGGCTTGCCTTCTTTTCCTCTTATTTTAGTTTTATAAGAATGCTAGATCATTAAATGTTTCACTTTTCTCTTGTCTTTTTTTTTTCCTTTTAAGAATTCCAAGCCCCTCCCCTCCCCCTCCCCTTCCACTTTGCATTTCATAGCTTTTGTTTCCATGATATACGACCCGTTTTTGTATAAATTCTTCTTCTTCTTAGCGTTCACCGGCTGTAAACTCCAACTGAAAGCTCTGACTGTTCCTTCACTTCTGGACAAAGCCTTGTTCTGGAGCTTTTGCATGCACATCAGTTTTACAGATCTGGCTTACTTTATGCAGACTGTTGATTCCTCTCCTCTCATGCTGATGCACTTATGACTTCAAAGGAAAACCCATAATTAGTCACCTTTAGTGACATCCTCATTGGACCGGGGCAGAGAGTCTATCGCACCTTCTTCCCCCTTTAGCCCCCCAAATGAGGCTCAGGAATCCAAGCCGGCCCTCTGTATATAAAGTTCATGTGCTTGTTTGCATAGTGTTTGTATTGATGTAAATTATATAAGTACAAGATGAAATTTCTCCAGTGTGTAAATAAACGGGTCTTATCTCATTAACTGCCATTTGGTGACTATTAGAACAGTTGAGAAAATATTACAAAATAAGCTGTATTTTATTCAGTCTTAAAATGTAACCACTAGATACTTCTAGAGTCACAAACTACTAGCTGTAATTATTGAATTTAAAATGTCGGTAATGTAATTCAGCTAATGTAGTTGATAAAGTAATAGTGTAAGATTTACTTCACAAAAGGAGAGAAGAGTGATTGATTGGAAGAGTAGAAAGGGAATGATTTTAGTGAATAATGGAGAGTGTGTATATGACTGAGTGATATGCAAATCATTGATACCAAATTGTACCTGTTGAGCATGTGATGTAACAGATTTTTGCAAGAAATTATTTAAATTATTGTTTTTATTACATTATCAGTTTATGTAACTACCATATGTGTTCAAATATTGTAATTTTGTAGAAAGGCTTCTAAAGTAAATGACAGGTACAGTTTTTCCATTAAACATTGCTTTCTATGTATTTTGATGAAGCGTTTATTTCTTAGTCAGTTGCAATAATTTTAAATTATATGACTGCCTCATTAAATACCTATAGAAGATTCAGGCCTAGTGAATTATGACATACCAAAACATTAATTTATACAACATTGTAGTAAAATTTCTACTATCTACATCAGGTTTAAAAACATCACACAGTATGGGGCACACTCTTAAATAATGCCATTTAAAAAAAAATTCTTTCCAGAATTGTATTTTGAAAAAAGAGGAATGCTTTCAGATTGTTTCACATAAGACAAGTACACCTACATTAACAGGGCCATGCTAACTTTACTGCAATTGGTTGTAGTTCACCAAAGCAAACTCCAGGACTATCCAGACTTCACCAGTCAAAGAGAGGAAATCTGGCCTTTAGAAGCGCCCTTGCAAGAGAAACTATTGGGAACTGTTGAAGACCTCAAGCTTACTGCCTTGTTTGTGAACCATATTAGAATGGACACATAGCAAACGATTACCGCAGAAGAACTGTGCTGACATGCAGCAGCTCAAAATAGATCAAGTTTCCTAAAAAATGTTTTAAAATTTTTTTTAAACTGGTTGCCTGCATTGTCTTCTGATCTTTTTAGCATTTACCAGCTGTAAGCTCCAGCAGAAAATCCTGGTTGTTTGTCCACTTCTGGACTTTAGTCTTGTTCCAGAACTTGAGTTGTGCATGCACCTCTGTTTTTTAAATCTGGCATTTTTGTATGCAGACTGTTGGTTCCTCGCAGCTCAGGCAGATGCAGTCAAACTTTGAAGGAAGCTCCCTAATTAGTTGACTTTTACAACATGCTTCTTAGGAGAAGCAGGGGGTCTATTCCTTGTTCTCCCACAATGAGGCCCAGGAACCCACACGGGGAGTCAGCATTAGAAGAAGGCAGTCTACATTCTTACAGCACATTTTAAGAAGGAGAAAATGTGTGACAATAGGAACCAAAAGAGAAGACATTACTTGTAATTTTTGTATCATAGCATTGATTGGCAACTGTAAGAAATTTTTCGCAGTACAGGAGACAGAAGGCTGTAGACAAAACATGATGACCAATTACACAAGGCATAGACCATAAGTAGATACGTGATGACCAACTTCACAAGGCACAGATCACAAGTAGACAACATGATGACCAGCGACACAAGGCACAGACCATAAGTAGACAACATGATGACCAGTTTCACAAGGCATAGACCATATATAGATAACATGATCACCAACATCACAAGGCACAGACCATAAGTAAATAACATGATCACCAACGGCACAAGGCACAGACCATAAGTAGACAACATGATGACCAATGTCACAAGACACAGACAAAAAGTAGACAACATGATGACCAAGTCATAAAGCACAGGTCATAAGTAGACAATATGATGACTGATGTCACAAAGCATAGACCATAATAGACAACATGATGACTGATATCACAAAGCATAGACCATAAGTAGACAACATGATGACCAACATCACAAGACATAGACAATAAGGAAGGAGAAAACTCATAAAAATAATATTGTTAGCGAACTGAGTTGAAGCTAAGTCAAAACGGGATAGGATCGACTTCATTGCTTCAAGTTATTAGTCGTTAGTACAGGTTCCAACATTATTGCAGACTAGGCGCTCCGCTACTGTACCAGTGGAAATCACACAAAATAACCTTCACTGTTCTGTTTGAAGACTAGTGAAAATCTTGAAGCTTGCATACACATGTAGTAAAAATGCATAAGGCAGCTCTCAGATGTACCAGCACTAACGATCCCACACCAGAATTGCAGCTCACTGTTGGTTCAAATGGTCAGTCACCTAAGCCAGCATTGCAGCTTTTTTTTTTTTTTTTTTAAAGTTTGACCCTATGTGGCTGAGTCTGTCAGCAATGAACAGCTAGCCGCTTACCTACACTATCACTACCAACACTAATGATCCCACGCCAGAATTGCAACTCATTTGGCTCATTCAGTCAGTCACAAAAGCCCGCATTGCACCTTTTTTCTTTCTTTTAAGTTTCATCCCTATTTGGCTGCGTCTCTAGAGACAGCAAACCGCTTGCCAAAAGTGTCACATGAAACATAGCCTAAATAACTCCAGTGACAATCCCCAGGGGTCGCCATAAAAAGAGACAGCCCAGTGAGAAGATGGAATTATGACACTGAAGTCATTATACGTTCACACAAAATGATATTAGCGAGTGCTGAGTCACAAAAGTTAGTTATGACTAAAAAAAATAAAGATAGTTAGAGATCGATGAACACAAATCTGTCAGGGTATACCATCTTGGTGAGAAATGTGCTGAATATCAAGTGCAGCCAACCTTCATTGTGGGGGCAACACCTGATTGAAAGAAATGGGCTGGATATCAAGTGCAGTCAACCTTCATTGTGGGGGCAACACCTGATTGAAAGAGATGGGCTGGATATCAAGTGCAGCTAACCTTCATTGTGGGGGCAACACCTGATTGAAAGAGATGGGCTGGATATCACGTGCAGCCAACCTTCATTGTGGGGGCAACACCTGATTGAAAGAGATGGGCTGGATATCAAGTGCAGCCAACCTTCATTGTGGGGGCAACACCTGATTGAAAGAGATGGGCTGGATATCAAGTGCAGCCAACCTTCATTGTGGGGGCAACACCTGATTGAAAGAGATGGGCTGTAATCAAGTGCAGCCAACCTTCATTGTGGGGGCAACACCTGATTGAAAGAGATGGGCTGGATATCAAGTGCAGCCAACCTTCATTGTGGGGGCAACACCTGATTGAAAGAGATGGGCTGGATATCAAGTGCAGCCAACCTTCATTGTGGGGGCAACACCTGATTGAAAGAGATGGGCTGGATATCAAGTGCAGCTAACCTTCATTGTGGGGGCAACACCTGATTGAAAGAGATGGGCTGGATATCAAGTGCAGCCAACCTTCATTGTGGGGGCAACACCTGATTGAAAGAGATGGGCTGGATATCAAGTGCAGCCAACCTTCATTGTGGGGGCAACACCTGATTGAAAGAAATGGGCTGGATATCAAGTGCAGCCAACCTTTATTGTGGGGGCAACACCTGATTGAAAGAAATGGGCTGGATATCAAGTGCAGCCAACCTTCATTGTGGAGGCAACACCTGATTGAAGGAAACATGCTGAAAGCCTTGAGAAACGCGAGAAGGGAGAAAAAAGAATGTTATATTCTTCTTTTTAAAGTCAATTCCGGTGGTGTTGGTAGTCATGTCTATCTCAGTCTCACTCTGCCTCTCCTTCCATCCAATTATACTACTGTCACGACATACTCCAGTTTTCTTCTATTCACATGACCAAAGAATGTAGATTGTCTCTTTCTGATGTGGGCAATCGGTTCTCTTCGTGAGTCAGTTTCTTCCACGACATCTTCCATACTCTTTTTATCTGTCCAGGGTTTTCTCGTCATTCGTCTATTAAACCACATCTCCGCCAGCTTCCAAATACGTTTTAACTAATTTACCAACTCTCCGTGATTCACTTTCTTTTATCAATATAGGGTTTATGTTAAATTATCGCAGCTGATATTTTTGTTCAAGAGGCATTGCAAAGTATGCTTTCCTCCAATGCAGTTCCCATCTTTTGTCTTGACCTCAAAGATGGCATAGAC